TTTCTTCCTCTTTAGTTGCGCCTTCACTTCTCAACTGATGCCCATAGTCGCGACGCCTTCTTCTTTCTCCTCATCCGCACTTTCGCTCCTCTTTCGGTATGCTTCCCATTAACCTTTGTTTGATAGATTGTGCTAGAATAAAAATTGATCTATGCCATTTCTAAAACTAATGAACTAAAATAGCAAGCAGTATTTTGATTTTGACGATACATCTTATTAACACTTGCCCGGCTAGTTTGCTTGTTCTATAGCATAATTAATTTAATACTTGTATTTTAAGTTCTAAAATATGTATTTTTATTTTTATTATTTTGTATTTGAGCAAAGAGTCGACTTATTACTTATTCTCAACAATGTTCTAGTTGTTATAAGTGATGAGAGAATTTCCTCAGTCGAGCTTTTAGGTGAGACGGTCATTAGCATCTAACATGGTATCAGAGCCATGGTGCCCGTATTGGGTTTGGATCCTGTATGGATTTTCGAGATTATCATCTCGAGGGGGGAGTGTTGAGAGAGTGAAGGGCCACTCCACCTATCACTAATTGGTTTTAGGTTGGATGCCCGGACCCTTTCTTAACAAGTTTTATTTTTACAATTTTGTGTGTCAAACAAAACTTTTATTTTTTACCTAAATGGATAATATAATTTTGTGTTTTTTTGCATATGATTCGATTAATAATGTTTTTTTTGCTTTCTGGTCTTTGAATTCGTAGTTCTTTCCAAATAAGTTTCCATTCGTGCTTTTCTTGTTCGCATTCTAAAATATATTTGAAGTTACTTGGACTGTAGTTATATTTGATAAACTATAGGGCTATATATTTTTGGTATGAGGTTTACATACAAGTTTTTCATATCCACTATTTTGAGTTGAGTTTAACCGAGTCGAATTTTAGTTGGTTGACTTGTTTTACACTTACTGTGTTTAACAACAAACAAAAAGATTCACTTATTCAGGTTATGTGTTTCATTGTTTTTTCTAGAAATATTATTTGCTTCATTATTTTTTCTAGATGGTTTACATTAATAAAGATTGTTTGCTTCACTGTTTTTTTTCTAAAAATTTAAAAAATTAAGAGTGTGTTCTTTGATTTTTCGATTGAATTATAAAATTGAGAAATATATAAAGTGTTATCATAAGTTTGTTTAAGCACTTATTTGTATAGGACTTAAATATACTATATTTTATGAAAGTTTATAAATTTTTTATTTGATTTATGTGTGAGTATAATTATTTCTATTTTTGTATTACAGATAATATAGATTATATCGATGGATAATCAACCACCCTTATTTCCGATATTATCAGACAGAGGTGGAATGATGAGTAATAATAGCAAAGAAAGTCAAAATGGTGATGGAGAATTACTGATAATAGGATATGGATTACAATAAGGCTTTGTTCGTTTGGCCGATTGGATTTAGAAAATACTGTATAATTACTGTACAGACTTTAAATTAAAAATCCCACACCTAAAATCTATGCCTGTTGTTGATTCATAGGCTTTCTTTTTGTCAGAAATGGTACGCAGTCTGTCTTGTCCAGACTTGTTCAGTCGGTTTCGAACGGGCCGTTGGAAACGTCGGTTCGCCGATTTCAAACAGGCGTCGTCGAACCGAAATCGGTTTTTCGGTTTCACACCGGCGGTTCCGAAACTGTCATCGAACCAAAACCGATTTTTTCTGAACTCAAATCAGCAGTTTTCGATTCGAATCGACGGTTTTCTATTTTTATTTTTTTAATTAACCGGTGGGGGAATGGGGAAGGTGGCGGAGCAAAAAAAAAAAAAAGGAAAGAAATGAGCGAATTGGAAAGGAAGAAGGAGATGCCAAATTCTCATTCATTGATTAGAACATTAGGATAAATATATTCATTATTATATATTATTAATTTTTTATAAACTTAAAATAATATTATTATTAGTAAAAAATAAATACTATGTATGTATTAATGATTTATATTTTAAATTTATAAATTTTTATTATATAATTATAGAAAATAGAAAAATATTTGATTTGCTATTTTTGTGTAAAAAAGAAATTTTATAAGTTTTTATTATATAATTATAGAAAATAGAAAAATATTTGATTTTCTATTTTTTTAAAAAAAAAATTGGATGAATATAAAAAATTTGAATAATACAAAAAAATCTGAAAATATAAAATTAGTTCAACAATTCAAACCTCCAAACAAATACAACTTAAAAATTCATACTTCAAAATCCTCAAAAATTCAAATTTAAAATTCAATCCCCTAAACAAATATATCAAAACCTTCAAACAAACAAACCCTTAAAATAAAAAATAATAATAATAATATCTCCAATTTTTTTTTTTTCAAAAAATATTTTTAAAATATCAATTCCAACGTCACTTTATTTTTTCACTTTTATTTATTTTGACAATATTTAAATATCATTCATTTTAAACTATCACATCAATACATCACTTTTTTTCAATATAATAATAATTTATTCTAACATAATCATTACAAAATTCAAACCTTCAAACAAACATTACTTAAAAATCCATACTTACACATCTTAAAAAATCCAAATTTAAAATCCAAACCCCACCACACTCTGGGTACTTTTGAGTGAGTTTTTAAGTTATGTTGTCTTTTTAATATTATTATTTAATTTATTTATTATACATTTAAAATATGGATTCTAACCAAATGCAATTTTTTTTATAGTTCAATTTCAAGTTTGATTGGACATATAGAAAATATTTAGATCAAATTTTTCTGAACATGGATTTTTATAAAATAAGTACCAGATAGCCAAATAAACAAATCGTTTAAAATATTTAAGGTATATCTAGTATTGAGTTTGTTTTACTAACTATATTATTGAATTTATTTTAACCATTGATTATATAATATTAAAATTGACAAATATAACAACATAAATAATAACTTAAAAAATACAATATTAAAAATAATAAATGTAACAACATAGATAATCTAAATAATTAATTAAATAATTCGTTACATAATTTGGCCTTCAACTTAGCTTTTCCTCTTTCGTATTTAAATTTTCACCTCTTGCCAACAATATATTACATATTTCAAACTTTTTTTCTTGGATAAGATTAATCTTCTTCTTCATTTTTTCTTCTTTCATAACAACAATGCCACTCAAATATCCTACAGCTTTTGCATTTTGAGCTTTCATCGTAAGAAATAGAACTTGAATTTTGCTTTTGTACTCGTTTTTCCCTTTTTTGGAAGCTTTGAAACCAGATTGATGAATAAGATGCTATTCATCAAAAGTGTCATTGTGTGGTGTTGAATTATTTGAAAACTTGATAATATCCATCAGCTTCATTGATTTTGATACAACTTGACTAATTTTTTGTAAACGATTTTTAACACTGACTTAATTAAATATTTTTTTTTTCAAAATACAGAACCTCTTTTATCAGTTTTTTATAATGACATTTTTTCTTGTGTTAAGTCATGCACTAACAAAAAAGATCTTCTTCATGACTTTATTTTTGTTTTTCATCTCCCTGGTTAGAGTAACAAATTGTACATCATCAGTTAGTATGGAAAATTCAGGAATGTATTCTGCATGTATATTTTACATTGAACCAAGTAGTGGAGGATATTGTGAAACTCCAATACTTGAAAGTTCGGCGGGTAAACATTTGGTGGAATGAAAGGGTATAATAGATTGTAGAAATTTGGGAGTGTTTATTATTGAAAATAGATTTTTGATTTGACCAAATTTTGTGAAAATTTTTTATTTTCAAGTACATTCACAAAACTCTGAAATATAAAAGTATTTTGAGAATTCGATGACTTTTGATCTATGATTGAAAACAATATATGAATAAATAGAAGATATGAAGTTGATATGTTACTATATGCATCGAACACTCCTATTTATGATACAAAATGTTATACCGTAAAATAAATTTCCACATCAAATTAATTCTTGTACTAGCTTCATTGAATTGATTATTTATATATTTTGGACTTAATCATACTTAATAAATAATTTTTTTTATTATTATTATTGAAAGACACATAAATACAAATAATTTACCGTAATTGATTTTTTATATCACATTAACTTTCATTAAATTGATTATCATATTAGTTTTTTGTACACAAACTTTAAAATTTTTTTATTAACCTATTGCATGGTAAAATAAATTTTCACATCAAATTAATTATTGTACTAACTTCGTTAAATTGATTATTTACATATTTTGGATTCTTTTCTATTATAACATTAAATCACACTCATTACACTATTTTTTTTTATTTAAAGACACGTAAATACAAATAATGTACCATAAATTAAATTTATACATCATATTAATTTTCATTAAATTGATTATTGTATTAGTTTCTTAAATATTTTTTTTAATTTTTAATTATTATAATATCAAATCAAATTAAATTGCTTAATTTTTTTTATTTAAAGACATAAATATAAATAATTGTACAATAAATTAAATTTTCACATCACAACTTTTAGTTAATTAATTATCGTATTAATTTTTTATATAAATTTTATATTGTATAAATCAAATTAAAATATTTAAAAATATATATATTGAAAGACATATAAATATAATTAATAGTTTTTAAATTAAATTATTTTAAAAATAGATAATTTAATGATAGTGGAGAAAAAAAATTAAAATTTTTATAAATGAATTTATTTGATGCGAATATAAAATAATGAATTTAAAAAATATAATGTAGAATAGATGAGATAGAGTAGATAAACTTACTTTGAATTTCGTTGATATTGATGACTCATTAGATAATAATAATAATAAAGTAAATTGGGATATGTATTCACTTTTAATATTTATATATTTTTATTTTGTACTTTATGGTTCTAATTTATTTATTTATTTATTATTATTATTTATTTATTTATTTATTTATTTATTTATTTTTTTTAAGTAATTGTGAATCCTATGATAGGCGGATAGAAGGTGTATGAAATTTTTATTTATAATTAAAAAATTTGTGCTACACCAAACGTGACTAAACACACATTCTGCAACACCCTAAGAAGTAAGACCTTCCGTGTAGAACTCAGACAGTGATTTTAGCGCTCCAACACCTGATTCTCTCTCGTCATTCTCTCCACCACATTCCGATAATCGCCATGAAAATCCTGGTCGCAATCAAGCGGGTCGTCGACTACGCCGTCAAAGTCCGGGTGAAGCCCGACAAGGTAACCAACCAATCAAAATTTAAAAACCATAGACAATCAGCAGCTTCAATTTGAAATCGCTTATCAATCAATCAATCAATCGGTTATTGTCTCAGAGTGGCGTGGAGACCACAAACGTGAAGATGTCGATGAATCCATTCTGCGAAATTGCGTTGGAGGAAGCGCTCCGGATCAAGGAATCGGGCCGGGCGTCGGAAGTTGTGGCCGTGAGCGTCGGCCCGGCCCAGTGCGCCGACACTCTCCGCACCGGCCTCGCGATGGGCGCCGATAGGGCCGTCCATGTGGAGCACGCCGGAGCTCTTCACCCGTTGTCCATTGCTAAGATTCTTAAAGCACTTGTGGATGTAGAAAAGCCTGGTTTGCTCCTTCTAGGGAAGCAGGTTTCGATCTTAATTTTCACTTTTTGCAGCTTATTTCTGCTTAATGATTCGAATTAATGTCAATTCTACACTTCAATTGATGTGTGCTTTACGCGATTTCGTCTGAATTTGAGTAAATTTTCGTGTAATTGGATGGGGAAATTGAGTGCCATCTGCTGATTTACGAATTGGGGATTTTTAATTTTTTTGAGTTTGATAAACATTAGGGTTTACTGATCCATTGTTGCTGATGTGCTTTCTTGCCTGATTGGATTAAATGTAGCTGAAATTGCAATTATACATTGCTGTAAAACTTATTCGAAAATTCGAATGAATGAAAACCTTTCGTTTCTATGACCATTCCCTTCTATTATGGCTGTGTTAATCTTGAATTTCCCCAAAATTGTGCCTATGTGTTTGATTTTCTGAATAGTCCCCTGGATTATCGACGATTATATTTGGTATCTTGTAGGCTATCGACGATGACTGCAACCAAACAGGCCAAATGGTAGCAGGGCTTCTTAAATGGCCTCAAGGGACCTTTGCTTCCAAGGTTAGGCTAATTTCGGAAAAACTAAGTTAATGAGAATGGAACTTATACGATTCGAGTATGGCTGTTCTTTGAATTTATTATACTTTAATGTATTTAGAAATCGGTTTCTATGTTGTCCAAATGATACATATAAATTGTTGGATCATGATTTAGTAGATCTATATTTAACCTAGAACAAGATCTTCATTATCTAATAACTGAAAGAAAGAGATCAATTAGCTTCGTACTTTCGTGTGTAGAATTTAACTTTTTAGTAGTGTTTTCACTATGAGTTTTTGAAAAAAAAAACTTCACGGTAACTTTAAGAGCCGAAAGAGTCGTATTACCTTTGATCCATGGGCGCTCTTTGTTAAGTAGTTTAATTCTATTCCACTCCTAATGGTGTTTCATCTTAATTTCTCTATTGTGTTTATTGTCCCTTACTATTAGCAAAGTTAACTTCATGCCGAACACACAATATGCGCACATTTTGGGTGAATCAAATTTTGTCTGTGCACTTCATGTTTGGCTAAAAATGAAGATGGCGAAGCCTATTTATACATATATATGTATCCTAGATGTACAATGTGCTTCCAAATATATTGAATGTCAATATTGGCTGGACACCTTCGACACACATTCATACCCGTCTTACTTTATTCAAATTCTTGCTTTGGTTATATAAGAATCGAATCTTGATTTATGCTTTATTTAGGTCGCGCTCGATGCAGAAAGTAAAGCTGCGACAGTTGACAGAGAGGTTGATGGCGGCATTGAAACTTTGTGCCTCGATTTACCTGCTGTTATCACGTACGCATCTTCTTCGTCACTGTACTTCTGCGTAGAGCTGTTAACGATCCGAGCCGAGCCGAACCGAGCCAAATTTTAAGTGTTCGTTCGTTAAGCTTTCGAGCTCGGCTCGTTAAGAATTTTTGTTGTTTGAGCTCGTGTTCGTGTTCGGCTCATTTAGGCTCAATTAAGCTCGTTCAAGTTCGTTTGTCTTATTTTTTAAAATTTATATATAAATTATAAAGAAAATTTAAATTATTTTATTTATATATTTTAAATTAATATTTTATTTATTTATAAATTATAATTTTATATGTATATATAATATTTATAATAAATATATTATTTAAACGAACGTTTGCGAACAAAGTTCGGACTCGTTAGTTAATTAAACGAGTCTGTTTATGTTGTTCGGCTCGGCTTGTTAATATTCGTGAACAAGCTTTAAGCGAGCCGAACCGAACCGATTTTACGAACGGCTCGGTTCGTTTAACAGCTCTACTTCTGCGCCTTATAATCGTAAGCTTTCTCGATGAATTGGTTACATCCTTATTGAGTTCCTCAAGCTATGATCATTTATTTGGATTGTTTCCCGATTAGGTTTGGACACGGAACATATCGATGTCATTAACATTTTATGTTAATAATTGCTCGATGATTATCGTTGCTTCGATGTTGGCAGCACTGACTTGAGACTGAATCAGCCGAGGTATGCGACGCTTCCGAACATCATGAAGGCGAAGTCGAAGCCGATAAAGAAAGTGAGTCCTGAGGATTTGAATGTGGAAATTCGATCGGATTTGGAGGTGGTTCAAGTGGCGGAGCCTCCGAAGAGAAAAGGCGGAGTGTTAGTTTCTTCGGTAGATGAATTGATAGACAAGCTGAAGAATGAAGCAAGAGTTCTTTGATTGTTGCTCTTGCTCTTGCTCTGTATATCGTATTTTGTCTGTCGCTTACATTGTGAACACTACTGTGCTGTTAGAAAATATATATGTATCTTTATTTCCTTTCTTTTTACTACTCCCTCTTGTCCCACATGTTCGTGCCGCTATTTCATATCATATACTCCCTCCATTCCACATGTCCACGTTGCCGTTTCTGTCCCTTCCCACGTAACATGTCACTTTCCTTTTGGGAAATGATTACACACTTTTATTTAATTTTAAACTTTTTAATTTTATTTTTTTTAATTTTAATTAAACTAATTAGTTATTTTAATTTTAATTCATAAGTATTTATATTATCGGATAATTATTTTCACTAATATATTTTTAATTATCTACTAATTGCATCCCTCCTAAAATACAGTGTCTACTGTAGACACGGTATATAGGACGGAGGGAGTATTATTTTTTTAAAAAAAATAATTATAATTGATTTCATTCTAAATTTAATTTAATTTAATTTATTTAAAATTTTAATTAGATTAATTAATTATTTTTTTCTTAATTTATAATTATTTTTATTAATATATTCTTAATTATTAATTATTTTTATAGTAACTCAGGACATATTAAATAGACAATAGAGTATAAAAGAATTTATATACTTTAATTATTATTTTTCTTTAAATTTGTGCTAAGTTAAATAAGAATAAATATACTGAGAGGATTATGTGGTTTTAATTTTTAATTAGGAATGTGCAGTGAAATTTTGGAGAGTTTTGAATTATCTTCCCTTTGAACAGATGTTTTTGGAAAATTTTGAAATTTTGAAAGTTTGAAAATGATAGAAGGTTATTATTTTAATATTTTGTAAAAAAAAAAATATTTCATATGATTTTTTAAAAAATAAATAGTATCAAATGAATGAAATGAATAATTTGAATTTCAAAGTTTTAATTTAAATTTGAAATCTATTGATAGATTGGAAATGAGTAATTTTACACGCCCTTATTTTTAATTGAACTATTCCCTCCGTCCCCCGAAATTAGTTCATATTTTCTTTTTTGGTCGTCCCACGAAATTAGTCACATTTTTTAATATAATAATAATTAGGAAATACTAATTACAATTACAAATTTAACTATATTTTATTCAATTATTAATACCCCTAATTTTTAATGTTTGTTTTATTGTAAAATTAAAAATAGTGCTAGAATTTTGAATAATAAAAATTAATAAATATTCAATATGATATAAATAAGTATTTATGCGATGTCTAAAATTTTTAATTAATTTTTAATATAATATAAAAAATATTTGATTTGATATTTTACGATTCAAAATTAGTTAATAATAAGATTTGATTTAGAATTTGATTTTTATATTTCATTAAAAATAATTCATTTATCAAAAATATCAATTTGCTCAAATAAAGCACGCATCATATGAAAAAAAATACTAAAGTGACAAAATTATTGTATAACGTAAATTTTTATATGGTATGATACTGTACCCAACATTTTCAGTACGACAATTGCATATACTTTTAGCATTGTTGGTATAATATATACCGAAAATATCAATACAGTTGATATTTTAGTATTTGATATATCGGTCTGTATCAATAATTTAGTATATTGATACTAAAATAATTAATTTTCTAATATATTCTTAAAATTATAAAATTATTTTTAATTTTTATATTTCATCGTAAAATATTATATGCTGATACCATACATGTAATTCGATTAGAAATAACTTGATACTGTATTCAGATATATATATTGCACCGAATATTTTGGTATATTAAAAAAATATCGATACCATACAAAAAAAAGTTCGGTATATTGAAATTTGACATTTTCGGTATTTTTTAGTATGATATGTGTTATTTCTGTAATTCAGTATTTTTTCATTTATAAATTTGGTATACCAAATTATTGATACAATATCTCGTTACGATAAAATAACATACTAAAAATTTTGTACGATATATAAAATATGCATTATAAATTTTGGTATGTAATACCGAACTATCCATACCAACAATCAAATTCGAAAATTTATCTGTTTTGTTTATATTAAAAATTTTAGTATTACGGTTGTTATTTTTGTATTTAAATTATTACAATTATTATTATTTTTTATCTAATTGAATAATTTACAATCAATATAATAAGTTTTTTAAAAAATAAAATATTAAATTTAAATAAAATAAAAAAAAAATTCAATTTTATTTCAATATTTTATCAAATAAAAATAATTAAAATAATATTTTATTATATATATTAGGTTAACTAATCACACTAATATATTTTTAAGATATAAAATATTTATTTATTTTTTCTTCGAATAAAGATCCAATATTGGGCTACGAATCAGATGGGGCTACAATATATTTATACGGGCCCCGGTCCAAGCCAATCCTGGTTCGAATCAGATAGGTATGACCCACCCATTTGACCAACTTGACTTGAGACATTTTCCACTTGCCTAAATTCGGACAATTGACCAATGTCCACGTGTTGTCTCCTTGTTACCGAGGCTCGCCCATCCTCCATCGGCGTCTTGCGATTTCTCTTCTTTCCGCACCCCTAAATTTCAGTTTCCCTAGAATCGCAAAAACTCCCCACCAACAAAAAGTTTTCCCCAATTCGATCGAATTCGAACCCCCTGATCCTTGCCCTAATTTTTTTCGCATTTGGATTTGGGGGTGAAAATAAAAAATGAACGAGTCCAGGGATCAGGTGGATTCGTTGGACCAGAACTTCTGGTGCGATTTATTCGATTACAGCAGCCTCTTGGACGACGCCCTGCCCCCCGCCGATGTTTACTGGAAACTTCACCCAAACGCAGAACGGTTAGTGAATGAAGTAATTTTTATTTTTATTTTTTAATCTAATCTGAATGTTTTTTTTTTTTTTTGGGGGGGGGGTGGGGGGGGTGGGGTGGGGTTATTCTGTGATTGCTCACTTTGCTATGTTATTTTTTTTATTGCTTCATCTGCTTGATTCGATTTGTCATCCATAATTTCGTGTTGATTTTTCAATGTTCACTTCTTTTTACTGCGTGCTCAGCTTTTTATGTGAGATTTTCTAGCCATGATTTGGGGATTTCTGTGTCTGGATTCTGTCTGAAGTATTTTAAGCTTATATATGTATTTTCTATTGTGTATATATATATATATATATTGTTATGTTGAAAGAGGATGGAGTTTTTTTTTTTTTTACCTCAAAAGTTTTTACTTGTACTTATGGAATAATTTCTCATATGTAAATAATGATGTAAGGTGGTTGTTGTTTTATTCCCAAAAAATAATCAGCCGAGGATTATGTAAATTTTTTGTATGGTTAATTTTCATCCATGTTTTCAATCATTTGATGCTCAAGTAAGAAATGGCTGGAAATTTACTAGGAGAAACGGAAAAGGGATTAATGTGGGGTCCGACGATTTTATTGTGGCAATCGAAATAAGCAACGGAGAGCCTTAGAAGTGAAAAGATTAGGAATGAAGCAAGATTGAATTAGTTCTTGTTTATTCACATCACTTCTATGTCTTAATGCATTGAGATCATTTGACTTCGTGTAATTTGAGGTTTTGATTTCGATGTTCTGTTCTTTTTCCGACTCTTCCTTCGGATTAAACTTAAGTTTTAGTCGAAGCAATTGAGAGTAGTGTTTGATTCGATGTTTTTTGGAGGAAAAATCAACAAAAGAACACACAAAGTTAAGGATAATGAGCCATAGGTAGAATAGTGAATAGGTCAAGTTTAATTCGATTCGGCAATTTGGGATCTATTGTTGGTACCAAAAATTGTTATCCAAATTTCAAACATTTATTTTAATTTTTCTGAAATCCAATGAAAGACGAGTGGGTGTGTTTGTTTGGGGGGTTTGGATTTTGAGTTTGGAATTTGAATAGTAAAACTTTTGAATTGAAATAGTTGTATGATATTATATAAATAAGTATTGATGTGATGTTTTTAATGTAAATTTGATATTCAGTATAATATAGAAAATAAAAAATAGGTGTTTGATTTGATGTTTTTGGGAGAAAATTTTCTTTATGAATAGTAAAGTTTTGGTAAAAACTATAAAAGAACACACCCATATATATGATCGATTATCATATTTTGAAGTGCCGGTGTGTCGCTTGATGCATTACTCGGTGGAACTCCATCACAAGCAACTGCAAGCAACGTTAAAGAAGATCAAGAATTTCCGAGGAAGAGGTAATTCGAGAAAAGTAATAGTTGTTTAACTATGGGACTGTTTTTCTATCTCTAATAAAGTAGATCGATGCTTCCCCTGGTTTCCAGGAAAACATAAAATTATTCCGAAATCTACTGAATGGAATAACTATTTTATTTCAGTGCGGGTGTGTCTTTGGATGTATCACATAGCGGAACTACATCGCAAGCAAGTGAATGTGCAGAGGAACAAGAATGTCGGAAAAAGAGGTAAGCAATGGTGAAGTGCTGTCTTTGCAGGAATTTTCTGCTACAAAACTCCATTGATCTTCGAAATTTAAGATTGGAAGTTTCTGATTTCTCAACATTTTGTTAATCGACACTCCACAGGGGACGAACTGATAGCCGTTGTGGAACAGGAACTAAAGCATGCCGTGAGAAAATGAGGAGGGAAAAATTGAATGATAGGTAAAATTCTAATTCAAAGAAGTTGTTTATTCGATTTCATTTCTTACTTTTCGATGAAAATTTTATTATTATTGTTTTAATTTCTAATTTCAGGTTTAGCGAATTGTCTGCTACACTCGAGCCAGGAAGACCTGTAAAAATCGATAAACTAGCCATACTTGGCGATGCCATCAGGATTCTAAACGAGCTAAGATCTGAATCCCAAGAGTACAAAGACATGAATGAAAAGCTTTTGGAAGAGATCAAAACTTTAAAGGTCAGACAACAAAAATACATGCCTTGCATTCGGTATTTTTTAATAACATTTTGTGGGCTCGCTTTGGTTTAAATGGTCATCTTGAAGCTAAATATCGTACTCTCATTCCAAATTTTGCTTCACTAGTGAAGCAATGATTTTTGTTTTTTTGTCGTTTTGGTTATATTTTTTTGTTAAAAAATTATGGAGAAAGGTGTAGGTATAAAAAAAAAATATTTTGAATTGAATTGTTGACTTTTCGTGAATAGGAATAATATACATGTTATATACAGTGTGAGTGTGCATTTATTTATTTTTTTTGTAATATGACGTTCGATGTATTTTATAGTGTTTGCTTAGAGAATCAAAATTATAATTTTTTCCTATCTGAATTACAACCATTTACAAGTATTTAATTAGGGTTTGTTTGTTATGATTTCAGACCGCACCATTTCCAATAAAAATATATTATTTTTTTTTACAAAATATCAGATCAAAATAGTATTTAAACAAAAACTTAAATCAACGTTCTATTTCAAATCAATTTCAAGTTGTAACCAATGCTAGATGTCTTTGGCATGATTTGGATGTGAAATTATTTAGCAATGTGCTTTCTTCGTCGATCCTCTAGTAATGGTTCGACCCGTTGTTAATTTTATTATTAGTAAAGATATATCCACGGCGACACCACGGACTTTACATTGTTTGTAACAGGCTGAGAAGAATGAACTCCGCGAAGAGAAAATGGCGCTTAAGACGGAAAAAGAAAAGATAGAGCAGCAAATAAAAGGCATGCCGGCTTTATCACTTCCACCGGCTAATTTCATGGCGGCGCATCCACCAATGTACTCGACTGGAGCCAATAAGATGCCGATGTTTCCGAGCTACGGCCTCGTGCCTATGTGGCAGTACTTGTCCCCGTCTGCTCGCGACACATCTCAGGATCACGAGCTAAGGCCTCCTGCTGCTTGAGCTTCGCGGCATTTTCTGGTAAAAACTGATTGTTGAGGTGAATATGCTCTTGCAACTTTTAATCGATGATTTCACTGAAAATTTTAGTCGATGGATGAATAAGCTGGAACATGGCTGAGCTTTTTAGATTTGTGTTTTTATGGAAATTTTTGCAGTATGATTGATTGTTAGGATCACATTTTACTACTGCTGGTGAATTTCTGCTGTTCTAACATTGGAGCTGTTAATTTATTTATATAATTGTTTCTGCATATTGTTTGTGTTTTTTTATGATGTTTTGCTATCTTTATGTAATTTATTATAAATTCATAAAATACTCTGTTTTATTTGAAATCAGTTTTATGTTATATGTGAAATTAAAGTATGCATAATTTTTTTTTTTTTAATGACGCGAAAGTCCGTCGCGTCTACACGAAAGTGCGTGCTGGGTAAACTCTCGATTGAACCTAATATCATACGAACTAGGCCGACAGCCAAATTAGTATGAACAAAATATTATTTTCATTTTTGATTTGGTTATATAGATAAATGAAACTCTTCACTTTATACTGAGGATGTGTTTACTTCGTAACAGTTATTTAATGTATTAATTTTTTTGAATGTAAAATTAGATTTTAATATAATAAAATAAATAAAAAATAAGTGTTTAATTTAATATTTTTAGAGGAAAAAAAAGAAATTTGGATAGTAAAATCAATATAAAATCTCAAAGTAAACCATTGTTATCTATTTTTTTATAATAAAAATTATAAATTGAATAATTATCCATTAATTTATTAATTTATTTTATTAAAAAAAAATTATTCATGTACTCATAAGAGTATATACTTTTAGGTTATGGAGTATTTTATTAGTTAGTAAAAATGTATAAATAATTTTAATATTTCTAAGTAATTTATTGTGGTTGTATTCACCTTGATACAGAAACCACAACCTATCTTCTTGTAAAAACATGATGTTTTTTAGAGTCTGAAATCGAGCAAAGCCGATGTCCCTCCAAGTCCTTTGGCGTTGTAGTGAAGTGAATACTCTCTCACCGTAGTTTCCCGGTACTTGGGAGGATTGTCTTCAGACAATAGCTCCTTAATTGGTCCGTACAACTTTGTTGATGGCATCAAGCCCGTTGTAATAAAGCATGCCACCGATACTCTTGCAGTCGCAGCACAGTGTGCCAATACTCTATGTTGGCTACTCTTGAATTTATCATTTGATATAAGCTGAAAAAATCGCATAAAATTTTAGTCATTACATAGATAATTATGCACTCATTGCTTTTCATCGTATCCAAAGAAGTGGAAATGGAACGGCGAATTTTCTTGCCAACCGTGGAGCTAAAGACCGATTAACATAATAGATTCAACGTATTTCTTTAGAAAATTCAAAATTTGATCTTCTATATTTCTTCAATCAACACTCTTGCTTAGTATGTTATTTTTTTCAGTTATTTTGCTGATCGTGTATCTTGCAAAAAAATCTTTTTTTTTTTGTTTTTTTTGTTGTTGTCTTTAAATTCACACTTTTATTTCTTTTTTATCCTTAAAATGATTTTAAAAAGAGAAAGAGAGAGAGAGAAAGTAAGATTTTTCGAAAGATATATAACCAAAATACAATTAAAAAAAAAACATATAAGATGAAAGTGATAATTGAACATAAGTATATGACTAAGTTTGTAATTCTTTTCATATTTTTTTGATATGTTTTATTATTCTATATATGCAAAACTTCTTATAATTCATTTGTAGTTTAAAACATTTGTATTATTCTCTTTTATGATTTTAAAACTACGTGAAAGTACCTCGTGCTTTTTATGTAGGCAAGATTTCTTATAGTCTGTTTTGAGGAGATTTTATACTATGTTTCAAAATATAAATGAGCTTTATGTGATTTTAAAATCATAAATAGCATATTGCAGATTTTCTAAAGCAAATGTGAATAACATGTAATTTTGTTTTCTATATAAAACTTGATATAATATTTTCTAAAAATATATATAGAATATTTTGTCGAAAAAATAGAGTCTATACCTGTAAAAGGTCGCCTATGTTGACCACGAGTGCCCCCGGAACGGGTGGGATGTCCACCCATTGATCCCGGTAAAGAACTTGAAGTCCTCCGATGTTGTCTTGAAGGAGCACAGAAAGAAAGTCGTAGTCGGTGTGCTTGGTAGCTCCCAATGTTTTATCCGGCTCAGGACAAGCCGGATAGTAGTGGCACAACACGGCAAGCCCCTCGGAACAACCCATGTTGTTAAGATGGTCCGGATTGAGATTAAGAGCCTCGGACAATAACTCGAACAAGAAGTGAACCAATTTCTTTACTTGCTCGGAATACTCGAACATTATATCCCTTAAAAGATAAAAGTAGTTTTCAAAAGATATTTAAAAATCTTGTTATAATTTGATCTTTGTAAAAACAAAAGTTGTTTACCTAGAATTTTTTATATTATTTTAAAAAAATACAATATATAATATATAATATATACACATAATTATAAAAATTAATAAAAAAATATATAAAAATAGCAAAAATATTTCCTATAATACTTTTAAGAGTCTTCATAACTTACAACAAAAATATCTAAACTTGTAAATATTTAAAATAATTTTGTTTCTTTGAATTTTTTCTACTAGGTAATCTCTAGAGTTATGTTCAGATATAGTTTTTGAGTTTTAAAATTAAAATAAAACTAAAATGTGTGTTTGTTTTGAGTTTTTGTTTGAATTTTTTTTTTTTATCTGAAATATAGGGTTTGTAAAGATAATATAAAAATAATGAGTATATTAATTTTGGGGGAAGATATATTAGAAATATTTTGTTAAAGAAACAAAGGGTTTGTTTGTTTAGTGTTTTGAGTTGAATTTTTTTATTATTATTATTTTATATGTGGTATTGAAAATTGTGTCGATAATATAGAAAATAATATTTAATGTTGAATGTTGACTTTTGTGATAGGGTAAAATATATATACTCCTTCCGTCCTATAAAAAGAGTTCTATTTTCCATTTTCGTCCGTCTCAAAACAAGGGTATCATTTTATAATTTAGTAATTGTACTACTCACCTGACATGATAAATATCATTTCAATTTACAATATACACTACTAAAAAATATCAATTTTGTAACGAGATTTTTTCGTTTTTAAATCCATTTTTTCCGTTACTAATGATATTAGAGATGAAATTAGTGATGGAATTATGTTAGCTACGTGAACTTTAGGAACGGAATTTCGTTACAAATATACTATTTTTTTGTAGTGATGTAACACAAATGTCACCACCTTTATATTACACAATAAAAATATTTTTGTCTTTTTAACTGCAATCCAATATAATACTAATATTAAAAAAAATTACGTGAAAAAACAAACATTACTTTTTATATGGGACAAAGAAAGTAATAAAAATTGTGTAAGAGAAAAAAAATGTTTGGACAAAAAAACCCTTTCATATTAAAAAAATGTAAGAACTCAAAATACAGGTAGAAATAAAGAAATAACGTGTTTGCTTAGTTTATATAGTTCTATGCTATTTATTATAAGGTATGAAAATTTGTAAAAACATTACTCCCTGATAATTATATTATTCCACATAATTTATTTTTTTCTTTATTGAAAATATAATTATAAAATTTAATCACATTTTATAGAATTCATAATTTATAAATTTTTTATTTTAATTAAATTAATTAATTATTTTAATTTTAATATATAATTATTTCTATTAATAAATTTTTTAATTCCATACTAATTATACAATATCTAACTCCGTGGCCTAGCTAAAATGAACAAATTAAATTAGCTTGAGGTAACATCTACTCTACCTCACTCTACTTTTAATCTATTCATTTTAATATTAGAATTTTTTTTATTTTTTTTTCTTTTTCGTGGCCAACTAAATTTATACTATAATTTTGTAAAGAGGGAGTATATATATATTATTTTTAATTAAGAAAAATAAAATTATGTACATTACATACTCAAATCTGAAGAAAAATAAAAATAAAAGTAAAAATTGCTAACCTGAAAGGGTGAGGCAATTGGTGAGGACTAGGAACGTTGGGGGCCATAGTGCAATAAACTGTATCCCTCCAATTTGCCGACGGCGCCGTGTACAGATCGAAATTGCTGTTATACACCACCGTTTTCGACCCGTCGCGAGTGTACCACTCCTTCTTCCTCTCGCTCTCCTGCTCGTAGAACTTTCTCACTCCTCCCAGCATCTCCTCCATCACTCTCTCTCCAATCCCATGATTCACCACCTGGAAGAAACCCCAAGTCGCCGACGCTGATCGGATTCTCTCTATTCGATCTCCTCCGTCAAGATCCACCACCGGAATCTGGAATTCGCCGGCGCCGTCGCCGCCGTCGGGCGGGGAGAAGAAAATTCGCGGGAGCTTGGTGATGGCAGCGTCGACGAGGCCTTTAACGCCTTCCTTAGTTTCATCGAATGATTTCAATTCCTTTGCTCTTTCTCTTTCTGCATCATCATCGTTCAGGTTGTCCATTAATTACGTTGTGTTTTTGGTCAGTATATAATTATATGTACTGCTCCTGAGAAGATGACTATGGTGTTTGTCTGATTTGATCGATGTTCTTGTTCTTATCTTGTGCAAAATCAAAGTCAACGATGAGTGAGAGAGAGAGAAAAGGGGATATTTTTTCGAAATTATTAGTCACATGGAGGTGACAATTATTTTTGTTCGATATTGAAGGTCCCCTCTCCAAATAATAATTGTGATGTGTGTCCAAATTCAGCTTTGATATGGGCAATCAATAAAAAAGATAAGTATGTGGTGGAAATAAAAGTTGTTCGTAAGCTTGCGGATATGGTCAAATCATTACAAATAAACAAGATGGACAATGCATGCATGTATAAAATATTGTCGATCGAGCATGGATGAGCTGCTGATCAGGTCACCTCAGTTTGATGCTGATTTGACCAAATTTCAACGTATGCTACAGGAATTATTATCATATATTTATATATTTTATCCGTCCCGCAAGAAAGTTGCCATTGACTTTTTGTGTGTTGATATTTGAATATTAATTTTGATATCAATACATAGTACAAATCAAGAAAAGAAAAGAAAAATATGTTTATTAATCTCTTATAATATATATACAATGATGATTGTCAAGTAAATTATTCAAATATTACGATATTTTTAATGTTAAATACAATGACGCAAAAATTGAATGGCAACCTTCTTGCGGAAATGGAGGGAGTAGTATTTTTGTATATTTATATATATTTTAACATATTTATAATACAATATATATTATATTATATCATTATATTATAATTTAGCATATGTTACCTTATAATACAATATATGTTAAAATATCACAAATACGATGTATGTTGACCCGATCAAATCAGCACAATGCTTAATTGGCCGGATCAACAACCATTATATCGTGTTGAGATTAATAATAACTATATTGTACTATATAAAATGATATTATTTTCTACCAGAATATGTAGTATATATTGTATTATCATTTGTTATCAAATATGTATTATTTGTTTTGTTGATTTGTGTTGACTGAATCAAATCAGCATGCGAATTTGACTCTGTCAACACAGAAAGTCGAACAGAACAATAAAATGCACATTATGCGTGTAGTATGCTTAAAATTTTTGTTTGTGTTGTTAAGATGATTAATGCATGTGAGAGTGTTTTATGCAAAAATAAGTAAAACAAATAAAACTTCAAATTTGTTTACCCAATTCGACTAGGCCTAAGTTTGGGGTTCCAATTCTATTATGAATCAAGTAGGAACAAACTATGAAAATACCTAACAAAAAAATTCCACACACAACACCAACTAAGACGACAAAATTCATTACCAAATGCAAGTGTAATTCTCTTCGCAAATACAAGAAAGGCTTCGATCTTCATGGTTTTTATCGATGCTTCTACTTCTTAAAGAAGGAGATGTCCGAGGCATTTCGCATTATTCGTCAAGGCATTTACACAATCAAATTATAGTATATGATGAATACTTCATCTTAACGACTATTGCAAACCAACAATTCTTCACGAATAAGAATTAAGCCATTACAAGCTACGGCATGATTAGTCATAACAAAAAGAGATTGGAAACCACCCTTATTCGAAACACAAATAAATTCAATCCATGTATCAATCTAGTAGGTCAAAAAGTTATCAAATCGCGCATACGAATAATCAATTCAAAAATTCAAAGAATAGTAAAATAAAATGATAGAGCCATTTCCACCATATATCTATTTGCGAAAAAATCCCAATAATCTCGAGAAATACTCCTCGATATAATCACATGTAATAAACATCGATCACATACAAGTATTGAATTTTGATAAGTAAGCATCGTTGCTTTATAATCCACAAGATAATTGCATTAATTTGAAGGAATTTAAATTGGATTTTATTCTTCGAGTATAGATTTAGGCTTCTAAACAACAAGAAATTAGTGTTAGAGCTCGAATTGTTTCAAAAGAGGAGTGCCGTCTAGCCCTTTAGATCGATAGAATTTAGTGAACTCTTCTATAGTTGTCTTACGGTACTTTGGTGGATTGTCTTCGGACAACAACTCCTTTATCGGCTCATAAATCCTTAAACTCCCGGTATCTCTACCACAAAACATCCCCACGGATATTCTTGGACCCTTCTTGCTAGATAATACTCTATGTTCCACGCTTTTGTACTTGTCATTCGATATCAACTGAAATAACAACAATTAAATAATTTGAATAATAATAATATTCTTAATTAAGTAAAACTTATTTGAGAGTAATCATAAGAAGTAATAATATTGAAAAACCCGTGAAAATATATAATACACTATTGTATTTGATTAAAATATACTAACACTTTAGTTAATATATCCTATGAATTTTTCTTGTATTAGTATAAAATTTACATACAGATATTTTTCCTATCCAAAAATAATGATAACTAAGTATAATGGTAGTTTTTTATTCTATAAATATATATTGTAAAATTTCTAATATAATATTCAAATAATCATGTTATTATGAAATTAGGACATTGGTTCTTCTTTGAAGTCCATTTCACATTATTAGATTGTTCAAATAATGTCATTACTTTTTAGACGATTAGATTGTTCTTTGCAGACTTCGTGCTAATAAAATAAAACTTCGAACTATAATGTTCTACGCATTTCTAATAAAATTAAAATATGTATTATGTGTTTACTCTTAGAAAAATCAAATATAAACCTAATACGTTTATTTTGCCAAATTGAAAAAAAAAATGGTATAATGCCGAAGAATCAAATATAAACCTAATACGTTTATTTTCCCAGTTAAAAAAAAATATGGTATAAAGCCGATGAATCGCTACTTGTTATAACAAGACAACTATTTATAACAAAACATATAAGATGCCTTACTTGGAGAAGATCCCCAATGTTGATGACTAAGGCCCCTTTGATAGGGGCTACGTCGACCCATTGGTTTTGGTGCTTCACTTGGAGGCCTCCGAGGTTGTCTTGAAGGAGCAACGTAATAAAGCTATTATCAGAATGTCCCGATGTCCCTATAGTGAGATAGGGCTCGGGACATGGCGGGTAGTAATGGCCTACCATCGCCCGTGGCCATGCACATTCTATTTCTAGGAGGTGGTCCGGGCTCAACCCCAAAGCCTCGGACATTAACCTCAACAATTGTCTCGCAAATTCTATCACTCGGTTAGAGTATTCCCAAATTGCTTCCCTACAATATATGATGAACGATTTTGTTAAATGATTGTCTTACATAAAAATTTAAGATTGTAAGATGCGTTATTAAATTACATATTATCCAGTCAACCAATAGGTTTTAGTTATGTTGGAATAGTTAAATGTCCGTGTCATAGTCTTAATTTAACTTGAAAATTATGAGATCTGCCCTAAGGAAACAATGTAATAATTGCAAATTTTGCTACATAAGTATCCATGTGTCATGGTTGTCATTTCGATTTCTAAAATGTTATTTGGTCATGTTTGAGTTATGATGTATTGTATATTTAATTGAAAATAAATTTAAAATGTGTATCGAAGTATTTTAAAAACTATTATTCGTTAAGTATATTAGTATGGACGTCGTTTGGTAAAAAAATATATATATATGTTGGGATGGAAATGAGTGCAACTCCAATAAATCCTCGTACACATATCCAAATGGGCCAACCTCCCGAAGCGTAGTTATATCACAGTTATGACACCCACTTGTCGATGAAGTAAATGAAAGTATTTCAAAGCAATAAATGAGATGCTATTTGTTTACCCGGTTCGGATATAAACCATCCTACATCCGGGGGATACCAATCCAGGAGGTGTTCATTAATCAGTGCTGATTAATAACAAAACACTCAAACCTCCACCAACCCACGCTACAAATTAATTACCCTCCAAGGTTTCAGTTGTTACAAACTCGTACTAACAACCGTCATAGCTGGGCTGCACAGAGTTTGAATGCTCCCCTGATCAGAACTCCAGTCTTCCTCTGATCTCCAAGCTTCTCCAACAGAAATACCATGAAAATCACTTACTTAATGCATGGAGGTGGAAGGGAAGTTATTGAGAGGATAAGCACAATAATTATCTTACTACCCAATCTCTCTCAGATCACTCTATCCACTTCCCAAAACTCTAATACAATGAAACATACCACCACAGCAGCCATGAAATGACATGCATTAAATTCCCTTTGATCTAACCAAGGAATGATGTTGTATCAAATCAGTTCTGATCACAAGAAGACAAATTCGAAATGTCCAATTTGTCTTTGAGCAGCCACCAACGAGAGGGGACACAAGGGCTGCATGATTGGACTTAACCAGCAGGGCCAGAGTTGCTGTTTTTGAATGCCAACGACCACAGAAGCAAAAAGTGTTTTTGTCACTATGCCAAAAATAGATGTAGAGGAATTGAGATTATCTTAACAATATATATAAAATTATATGTAATATAAATATATATTTATATGTGATTAATATAATAAGACGTTAGAATGGATATAAATATATTTATTTAGGAGATTGATAGCAGTGGTAGATTATTAATTGGTCTCATTTTGACAACAAAATATATATATACATATTTGAGAGGAAAAATATTACTAGATTTATATAACGTGAAGGACAAAACAAAAGTAAAAGTTGTGTTTGGTTTGTATTTGTATGTTGTACTATATTTAAATAGTAGATAAATGTGAATTTAAAAAAAAAAAAAAAAATTCAGATAAAAGTATATATTTGGGTTTTTGTAATATATTAAGAAATAATAAAATTAGTTAAAATATGTAAGATGATTTTAATATTTTTGTCTTTTAAACTTTATGTATATGTCTAATAATATACTTGTATTTTATGTAAAAAATTAAACGGTTCTTTCAGTTAAAACAAATGGAATAATATATTTTTATAAAAAATTTATGAAAATTATAACAAAAAAAAAAAAATAAAATCTCAAAAGAACAGAGTCAATCACTGCCTTAAAAATGAATCGAAAAACATGTCTAATAAACTCACCTCAAAATTTCCGGCAACTCCTCCGGCAGGGGCGGATTTGGCGCCATATTCAAAAAAACGGTGTCTCTCCAATTAGCCGTGGGCGAGTTAAAGAGATCGAAATTGCAGTTATAGACGACTCTCTTGGACCATTCTCGGGTGTAAAACAACTTCTTGATCTCCTCTTCTTGCTCGTGGAACGACCGGATGGCTTTCAATGATCCGTCCAACGTGCTCTCGGGTATCCCATGATTGACCACTTGAAAAAATCCCCACGTCTCGGATGCATCACCGATCATTTTTACGATCTCGTCGTGATTCTTTTGGAGATCAATCACCGGAATACTTAGCCGCGCATTTGTGGGATGTGTTGAATCATCGATATTATAATATGGCGGATGGACGAAGATTTTTGGGATCTTGGCGATTTGATTGTCGACAAGCCCTTTCACGCCGGTTTTGGTGTCGTCGAAGGCTTGGAGCTCGGCTCTTCGATCGCATGCCGTCGGGGATGTTCGGGGCGGGCTTCGAGGAGTAAGGTAGTAGGAGGAAGCCATGGATGAGGTTGGAGAATAGGTTGGATATTTGTGGAGAAGATGATGAGTTTCTTTGGAATTTTGTGGTTGAATTTTGTAGATAATTTGTGAGAAAAAGGGTAGAAGACTTTGTGGACACATTTGTAGGACCCTCGGTTAGAGTGCTAATTAAAAATTTATAAACACCATATTAATTGCTTCAATTAACATATAAGATATTATAGATTATATATAAAATATAACATACAAACTATATTGATAAAATATTAATATGTATTATTCATTCTATTTTATATTTATATTGTAAATTTATATCTAATGTGTTGTCTAATACTCTTTTCTGTCCAAATCAAAAAAGTCATTTAGAATTTGATAATATATTAAAAAATAATAGTATTTTATTAGTTAACAAAAATGCTTAAAAATTTTTGATATTGTTTTGCTGACTATATTTATAAAATAATTGCATGTGTCGTAATGTTATAATTTAAGTCAAAGTTGTATCTGTGTATTATTATTTCTTTAAAATAGAAAATTGATACTTTTGAAGTGAGCTCACCGAAAATAGTAAAGAAATACTTTAAATTAAGACAAATGGAGTATATATTAGTGTCATTCAGAAAATGTCGAATTTAAATTATGCCTATACTTATTTAAGTATCTTTTTTTCAATTTTTATACCATACGATATCACAATTCTTTGTATAAAAATATATTGTATTAATATTTTATATAAAACATCGTCCAATAAATATTTAAACTGCTAACAAATTTACAAAACAAAAACACAAACACACGTCGTGTTCGGGTTTAGAGTTTCAGATCAAATTTTTTGTTCGAGTTGACAATTTCTTTGTTATCCTTATGGCTCAACTCGACACAAACACTGCTGAAAAACAAGAATGATCACCCTTACTTAGAAGTATTTGATTCAATCGACAAGACTATAGTTATGGTCTTGAATCTTGATTGGACTTACGAAATATAGACTATTAGTACATAAAAATAATGCACGCAGCAGCACAAATCAACCACTGTGTTTACTTTAGATTTTAATTTTAAATAAATTGAGTCGAAATAACTATTCGATAGTAATATAAATATATATTGGCATAATAGTAATATTTTGAATATAAAATTTAATTTAAATGTAATATAATAAATAAAAAATAAATATCTAATTTAATATTTTTGAAAAAAAATAAAATAAAATAATAAAAAACAATCAAATTTCACAGGTAAATACATCCACCGTAATACAAATAAATCATATAAACTCGCAACACGCATTTATTTATTTTTTTTATTTTTTATTTTTTTTTTAAATCTTTGAATATTAATTATTATATTTTTATAAAAATATAATATAAATTAACGAAAAATGACAAAATATTTCTATTAGTGTATAAAATATTATACAAATATAATACTGTAATATTTTTAATATTAAATAAAATGATCAAATCTTCACATAGAAAAAAATTAAGGAAATGCAAGCAACCAATAACTAGCATTAGAATGTAACTAAAGAAATTCGAAGATTGCCAATACTTACTAACAATTCATCATTCTGGAAATTACCATCCTAAAATTTTGCAGCACGCCAAAGCTGTAAACTCAATAGAACAAAGCAAAATAATGAATGTCATTGAATCGGTAAAATTTTGTGAATTCCAAAGCCAAAAGGCTAATACAACCACCGCACAAAAATGTCTCATAATAATAATCCAAATTGGTAGCAGATTAACTCACCCGTGACGGGAACTCATAGTTTGTTTTCGATTTTGGAGGAGACATCATTTTTGCTGATCTATTCGGCATTGTCCCCGAGTAAGGCCCAAGCTCTAACCAAAACATGAAATGTCTGTCAGTAGGTAACCATAGGTGTTTGGAAATTGTTATTCGAAATATTACAAGAAACCGATTTTAAATCAGGAGCAATTCTAACCTTATCAGTATCAATCATAGTTAACGCAGCAATTGCTTGATGCAGGAGCTGTGCGGGGAGTGCAAGAAGAATCATTTATGTCGAGCAGACGAGACAAATGAAGATGGTGAAATGGTTACCAGTAGTATTAAAGCTCCAAAAGAGCTCCCGACCACAAAAGGCAAACTTCCAAGCGCTTCATTATGATGGCTCCGAGTATTATATGTTTCATCTGAAACAATAAATTTTCCAAGCTATGTAATGAGCTAAAATGTTCTTACACACATTAGGCATCAAATAAAGGTGAACTAAGTACCCTCTCTTTTCTTCAACATGTGGCAGCTCGAAATGCTGAATTTTAGGATCTCCCGCAGGCCCACCATCAACACCGAGTTCATTGAACCTACAAGGCATTCAAGTACGTTTCATGAAAGAGTGTCTCGTAGCAAAGATCCGGGCTTGAAGGGAATGTTGTATGTTTGGTTAAATAAATATAGGAGATGCACGGAAAATGTTGGGTAAAATGTCAAGGATCTCTTAGGATAAATAATCATTAAAATACCGCATTAAACCTATGACATCCATTAAAAAGGAAAAAAATATCCGAACCAGCTAAAAAAATATAAACAAAATCATTGTGAAGATTGGAACATGCTTATTGATCATCGTCAACAAACAATAACTCAGAGTGATTTTTGTAAGGCCATGTTTATTTTCAAAACCTGAATTCACAGGTCAATGAAGATAAAATTATCATAGAACATCAGCTGTCTATTGTAGTTGCAGTGAAGTCAAATGTAGATAAAAATAAACCAACCAATCTTAAAATGTATAGTTAACTTAAATTATCAGATAACAATGGCAGAGGACAAAAGAACAGGGATCACATAATATATATATATATATAACTACATGTGAATGAAATGTATCAGTTAGTTGCCAAACAAGGTCCAATATACCCCTACTATGATGGAATTTTTACATTTATTGATTCTATTCTCAATTGATAACTTAATACAAAGTATTAATATATCAACACGGATATCATGCTGAAATTGTAAATATCAGCACGGCTGAAGTTAATCACGGCCGTTAATCTCATTTAGTATTACTTAATAGAAGGCTAAAAATGTAATTTTATCCATTTAATAATGAGATTCAGCAATGCTGAATTAAAGTATAATATCAGCACATGATCCTTAGCTTTAATATATACATATTAGGCCAACAGGTCCCATATACTAACACTAGCACTATCTAACAACCTGCAAATGGATTTCAAATTTCTGCAGACCATTCTTTGACAAAAGAAAAATGACTAATATGAGTACACATACCTCGATCATCAGAGATTTAAGATATAATGGTCGGGGCTTGTTCATTTCCACTCTTGGTTGCTTTGTAAGCATTATATCCTGTGGTATTTGAGGGGGTCTTGCCTCCATCGTTGCAAATTGCCCACCTCAGCCTAACATTAAAAGGAATTAACCGATTTAGCAACTGTGGAGCATAAAAGAGTGGTTTGAAAGGTTCATCAACTAATATACATATGAATGCGGTAATGTGACGAGAAGGAATCTTATGGCTCTCTATATTATATCAATCTCTTTTAAACATGACAAGTTGACAAGTGAGGTTAAGTTAAACTACTTCAAAAAATGAAAATTAAATTATCAAATGAGTTCCTCAAAATGGCTGGCATTGACAAGTGCATATGTAATAACTACACTCGCACAAACCAAGCAAGATCGTGTAGGTTCAGAACATTACCAGGATAGATTCTATGCTAGCAAGGTGGTGGATCCGAACGAATAATGGATGCCTTGGCATATCTCGCCTTTTCAATTTCCTTCTCAAGAAAATCAAGAGTCGTATCCGTTACATGATTCGGAACACACCCGCCATCCAACATCATCTTCAAAATCTTGTACGCATCTTTCAATCTACCGGCCTTACTGTGCACTTCAATCAGGGTGTTGTATGTGACCACATCAGGGTTTATTCCACAATCCTTCATCTGTTCAAACAGCTTGTTAGCGTCATCTATTCTACCCGCCTTTCCAAGAGCATTGATCAACGTATTATACATCACTATATCAAGATGCCCGCCTTCCCTAACAAGTTTTTCAAGAACAGAATTTGCAAGATCTGCTCGTCCCATCTTCCCCAAGCCTTGAATTATGACATTATAGGTGGCAATGTCGGCTAGGTTCAACGTTTCACCCATGGCACGGAGGACACCCCATGCCTCCTTGAAGTAACCTTTCTTTACAAATGAATTCATAATAGAATTGTAAGTGTAGCTGACCGGATCTGCTCTCATGTTGGTGAAAATTTCGAATAGCTTACACGCTAAACTCAGCTTCCCCTTGGATAGGAATATAGATAGATACGTATTCACCATATTGATATCAAAGGACTCTTCCCCATTCTCCGTGACTCGGATTCCTCTAGACATTGTGAAAGATGGCCAAGAATGAGAAGTCTCGGAGGTATAATGATTTGCCATCCAATCCATGTATGGAGAAGATGACCATTTATCACCTTCATCATCAAACTTCTCGGCATCTTCCGTATAAACATCACCACGGCCTTCCACGCCATGTGAATCACTAATATTCAAAATCTCAGCAACATCTCCTGTTGATGGAAACATTGGCATAAAGTCTCTTTTTCTGCTTTGTGGATTTCTCAGCAAAATTTCCATGGCAGATTTCCACTTAAGGATATTGGGGACCAAATTCCCAAATCTAACGTGTTTCATAAGCCGATCAGTCGCATCCCATTGACCTTGCCTGTAGAGTGCAATCAATACTGATGTTACCGTTACCAAATCAACAACAAATCCCCGCGCCTCCATCTCTTCCAATAACTCCAATGATTCCTCAACCCGATCCTCCAAAGAAAGACGATAAATAACAATGCTGTAAGTAATCGCATCGACAAAACTATTACCTTTCTTCTTTAAGTCTGAAAACATAGCAAGCGCTGCCTCGGGCCTTCCATTTTTATACAACCCATCAATGAGTATATTATACGTCCAGCATGAGGCCTTAACAGTATCATCATCAACCATTTTCTCGAACAAATTGCATGCTTCCATTAGCCTCCTTGACTTAAGCAAACCATTTAAGAGGGAGTTGTAAACAACTGTTTCCGCCCGTACACCATTATACTGCATTTCACTAAAGATTTTCATAGCATCATTGATTCTATAGGACTTACAACAACCCTGTACCAAAATTCGATACGTGAACGCATCAGGCTCGTGACCTGAGGAAACTTTCAGCTCCTCCCAGACAATGAGAGCATCTTTCACCTTCCCAAGCACACAAAGAACATGAATGAGACTGTTGTACGTGCACAAATCGGGATATAACAAACCACTCATTTCCTTCATCTCTTTGAACAAGCTTAAAGCAGTACTTAAATCACCCCAACATCCTAACGTGTGGATGCAGATATTATAGCCCCATCTATCATGTGGATAAAGCTTCGTTTCGCGCAGCTTATCAAAAACCTGTTTGAATTCTTCTTTCATTCCTGCCTTCTTCAGCCCAACAAGCAACTCGTTACAAGCTACAGCGTCAGGAATGGCCGCACTGTTTCTGACTGTGGAGGAAGATGACGAATCCAAAAGTTTGAGGAAAATCGACAAGGCTAAGGAAATCTGGTCCTTCCTCACAAGAGCAATAACAACAGGACTATACACATTAGGGCTTAGTTTGCTTGTACTAATCAAATCCCTCTCAACATAGTCCAGAATTTCTAGTGCAGAGTCAAATTTTCCAGACCTAATTAGCCCATCCAGAATCAGTTTCAAAGTCAATGAATCAAGCACCAATCCATCCCGCTTCATGGAGGTGATTAGGTCATAGATATCATCACAGTGAAGAATAGGTAAAGAACAGATGATTTTGAACATCTGCAAGTAGGTGCACACTGAGTGTTTGTAGTTAGGTCTGTTCGAGCACCACCTAAAGAAATCCAATTTCTTTGATGCATCGAGCAAGCCACGGCGGAGCACGCAGAGGACAATATCCTCAGACAAAGTGATTGAGTCTCCATCCTTGTCCAGGGAGTGTATCCCCGGCTTCGATAGTGCTTTGGCTATGGAGGCTACTATGAGAAGTTTGCGCAATTCGATTGCTCCTCTCGATGCAGCAATGCCATTAACTTTTCCCACAGTTGTAAACCTATATCTGGAGCAGAATAATGGACAAAATACAATGGATTGATGAAGGAGAGCTAGAGTTTTGCATCGCCCACCATGCATTACACCTTTTGTAGTTTCCACTCAACCAATAACTTCATTCAAAGTTAATAGGAGAAGCAAGAGCTCATGGAAAGCCAATTCCGGAAGAAAGAGTCGTCACCTACCCTCTGTACAAGATCCAGGTGATCCCATAAAAGACCAGAATATAATCAAAATTCAAATGTTGGCGTCCCAAATGACTGACATGCACATTAACAGATAACTAATTGAAGAATTCAATAATAACATTCTATAAGCAAGAAGTTCAAGCCATACCTGCAAGGAATTCCAATCCACATAAAAAGTCAATAAATTAATATAAATCACTAGACACAAACCAATCTTTTTACATAACAATCTTAAACAGTTTTGTTTTAACTTGAAATTTCTCAGATAGCAATGGCAGAGCAAAAAATGAGCGGGGAATACCAATCACAGAAAAAATAAAGTAACGAATAAACTTCAGGGATCACATTAGACAGCTAGAAATGAATACCGTCTATCAGTTACTTGCAAAACAATGTTCAAGACATGCTGCAGTATAGGCATTTTTACAAGTGTAATCAAAGTTTCCACCAAGTCCTTCATATAGGCTGCAGTTTCGGAGTGTTAAACTAGTTTGATAACAAGAAGCAAAGAACTTATTATATATTCATGTATGAAACGGAAGAAATTGCAGAATTATAACTTAGATTCCTTATTCCATATACATATACACTTTACACCACTACGGATTAGACAGAAGCTGAAAAACACTGGAACACTAAGACTCTGTTTATTACTTTTGGAATTTTTCGCACACAGTTAACTTCTAAAAAAATTTAAAATAAAAATAAATTTCATTCAATGCATTTTTTTCAACAAAACATCAAATCAAATAGTCTATTCCAAAAAATTTCTGAAGTTCCAAAACTTTCAAAATTTCCATCTAAACGAAGCCTAAAATAAAATGAAATTTCCAGCACCAATTTAATCGAGGAAGTCGAGCAGATTGGCGCCATGCATCAACTAAACACCTAACACATAAAATACCTACACGATTCCCGATTAATATTACCAGATAATACAATATATACATACACCACATACATATAAACCCAACAATTCCACACAAAACCATTATTCATATTAACATAAAAACACAACTTAGAACTAAAAACATTAAACAAACACACCCCAAGGCTATGTCCAAACTCAGTTTTTTATCAACCTCTTTTTCCTGTGCCGTACTATCATCGTCTCAATAAAAATACACATTTTCGGGACAAAACATTTCATCCAACTATTTAGCCTAAAAACAAAAAAAATCAGAAGCTACAAAATACAAAAAGAACACACAATAAATAATAATATAATGACAGATAATCTGTGGAGAAGTTCACATCCTAAGATAAATTTCTAGCTGCATAAAACACATCGAACAACAAATCCACAAAGAAAGAAACATTCACAACGGGGAAAAAAAAAACCCAAATCAACCAAAACAAGAACAAATAAATAAATGATACAGATCTGAGAATGCGAATATTCAAGAACAGAAGTATTACTCTAGTTAAGCTGAGAGAATAAGCACAGAGGGTAAAGCAGCCTTCCAAAGAACGAAATGAAGCCCATTTCCGCTCCTCTGGGTGGATTTTGAGGCGACGCGTTACAGAGATTCAAAGGAGGCCGCCGGGAAGAGAAATCCTATGGGTGCGTAGGGTTGTAGGTTTCAGGTCTGCTTGGTTTTCTACTGTGAACTAAATGTCTGCGCGAACCCGACCAAGCCTATAGTAAAATTTTCGACGGTGACGGGGAAGTTCAGATCTATGAGAAGAAGACGAAGATGGCCGCCGCCGCCGCCGCCGGAGAAAGGAAGACGCAGGCGAAGAACGCAGGCGACGAAGACGCCTACCCCGCCGGGCGCCGAGGGGTTTAAATATTATAAGAGTTATTTATGTATTTAATTTTTGAATTTGTAAGTGTGTTTGTTTTATTAAATTATTTAAATAAAAAATAATTATATAAAATATAGAGAGTTTTAATAAATTATTGTTTTTATTATAATTTAATTAATAATACTGGTGAATTATGAATATTAATTTTTGATGTTAATAAAAATATATTAATTTAAAATATAAAATATATATTATTAAAATAATTAGTATTTATTTAAATATTTAAAAATTATATGAAAATTATTTTATATAAAATAAAAAAAATTATAATATTTATTTATTTATAATTAATTTAAATAAATTAATTACATAAAAGATTTTACATTTTAAATATAAATAAAAATATTTGTTTATTTAAAATATAAAAATAATAATGGAGGAAGAATTATTTTTATTATTGTACAGTGATAGTCCCTTTGTCGTTCATTTTTAGTTCTTTTTGGTCCGAGATTAAAAACAATATTTTATCAAAAATTTAGGAAAAAAAAAATATTATTATTATTAGAGATATTTAAAAAATTTAATTAATAATTAAAAAATAAAGAGAGTAAATGTGATCAAAATTAGTCTCTCGCTCTTTTCCACTTAATTTGTATCTTTCTATCCCACGTACATAGTCTCTTTTTAATTTTTGAAATATAATTATACATTTTAATCATATTTTAAAATTTATAATTTTTAATTTTAATTAAATTATTTAGTCATTTTAATTTTAATCTATAGTTATTTTTATTTTATCATAATTATTTTTAGTAATATACTTTTTAATTATTTACTAATTACATAATACCTAAAACTTCGACCCCCAACTAAAGTGGACAAATTAATTGGAATAGAAAAAGAGTAACATTAATTATAAATAAATATGAAATGAAATAGTTAAAATATTAATTTATTTATATTTTTTCAAATATATTAATGAAATAAATTTTACAGTTAAAAAAAAAAAGTGGAAAAAAAATAAAGAATTGAATAATTATTTATTAGGATAAAAAAAAATCATGTTTTTGTTGTAATTAATTTAACATATACAATATGATTATATGTATATATATAGAGGTATTAGGACAATATCTCATGGGATCCTCTATCCCAAAAATAAATAATATCCCTCTATCCCCACACACATAATAATGTATATATATACACACAAGTATGTATATATATTATATACACATGGGATCATGTATATACATTATTGTGTGGGGATGGGGAGATAGTGTTTATTTTTTGGACAGAGGATCCTGTCTAAGACAATATTTATATATATTAATTATATATTTATTTTTATTATATCATATAAATACGAGTTTTGTACGGATCTGCCACTTGAAAAGTCTATCTTGCCCCTCATTTCGAAAATGACAATTTAGCCCTTAACCTACCCTTGTACTGGCTTGAAAAGACGTTTAATACGAGTTTTGTACGGACCTGCCACTTGAAAAGTCTATCTTGTCCCTCATTTCAAAAATGACAATTTAGTCCTTAACCTACCCTTGTACTGAAGACCGGAAGTCCTCAGATCGGGACGGCCTCAGGTCGGGAGTTCCTCAAGACGGGAAGTGGTCAGGTCCGGAAGTCCTCAGGTCGGGACGGCCTCAGGTCGGGAGTTCCTCAAGACGGGAAGTGGTCAGGTCGGGAAGTCCTCAAGACAGAAAGGGATTTCTTCAAAAGACAGACTTTTTTCTTAAACAGATCTGCATACCCTTCAGGAGCTATCATGTAGACTGTCTCATTAAGATCTCCATGCAGAAACATTATTAACATGTAATTGGAAGACTTTCCAACCTCGACTAAGGGCTAGAGATACAACACTATGGACTGTAACCATCTTAACAACCGGTGAAAAAGTTCCATGAAAGTAATATTTAAGGATTTAGATTTTTTATTTTCAAGCATCTTCAATCAACTTCAACAAAGCAAAGTCAGATTTGGGGATCACCACTTTAAATTTTCAGCATTTTAATTTTCCAATCAATTTCCTTTTATGTACCGTACAGTGTTTAGAGATTCCTAATCTCAGACGCTAAAAAATCAAATTTAAGGTGTTACGTACAAAAATAATAATAATAATAAAAATAATGGTAGCAGGGTCTTGAACGAAGGTAGGACCCGAAGTCGGGCAGAAAAGTAGAAAAATCTGCGCTCAGGTCGGGAAGTCCTCAGGTCGGGAGGACCTCAAGACGGAAAGTGGTCAGGTCGGGAGGTCCTCAAGACAGAAAGTGGTCAGGACGGGAAGTCCTTAGGTCGGGAAGTCCTCAGGTAGGGAGGTCCTCAAGACGGAAAGTGGTCAGGTCGGGAAGTCCTCAGGTCGGGATTTCGTCAAGACGGAAAGTGGTCAGGACGGGAAGTCCTTAGGTCGGGAGTTCCTCAAGACGGGAAGTGGTCAGGTCGGGAAGTCCTCAAGACAGAAAGTGGTCAGGTCCGCAAGTCCTCAGGTCGGGAGTTCCTCAAGACGGGAAGTGGTCAGGTCGGGAAGTCCTCAAGACAGAAAGTGGTCAGGACGGGAAGTCCTTAGGTCGGGAGTTCCTCAAGACGGGAAGTGGTCAGGACGGGAAGTCCTTAGGTCGGGAGTTCCTCAAGACGGGAAGTGGTCAGGTCGGGAAGTCCTCAAGACAGAAAGTGGTCAGGTCCGCAAGTCCTCAGGTCGGGACTTCCTCAAGACGGGAAGTTGTCAGGTCGGGAAGTCCTCAAGACGGAAAGTGGTCAGGTCCGGAACTCCTCAGGTCGGGAGTTCCTCAAGACGGGAAATGGTCAGGTCGGGAAGTCCTCAGGTCGGGATTAGGAAAATAAAGTCCTCAACATCTTCCCAATGGTTCCTGTTGATGTATTTTTTCAACAAAAATAAAGTAAAATTCAAAGATATAGAAAATATCCTTAAACTTGATTAATTAGTGCCTGAGATTAGGAATCTCTAAACACTGTATGGTACAGAAAATAAACTGGAAAATAAAAGACTGAAATTTAAAGTGGTGATCCCCAAATCTGACTTTGCTTTGTTGAAGTTGATTGAAGATGCCTTTTCTGACGGATTTGAATCCTTTAAATAGCCTTTCAGAGAAAACGGTTTGAACCGCCGTCTGGTCGGTTACAGCAACCGCTGTCAACCGACCACCAATTTCTCCTCTATTGACACGTATTACAACTTCCTTCAACCGTTCCCACCAGTCACAGAACTCAGAACTGCCTCTTACCCGACCTGCCTGTCCACTGCCAAATTTCTTTTGCCCGACTTCGTCCTTCGCCCGACCTGCTTCTTCGCCCGACCTCACGTGGGCCGACCTCCGCATCAGCCGCCCTCCGTCTTTGACCGAAGACCTCCGCGTCTGTCCGTACCTCTTCCTTGCCCGACCTTCCTCTTGACAGACCTCCGCGTTGCCCGACTTCGCATTCCATCCGATCTACGGTTTACCCGACTTGGGTACACCCTTTTTTTTTTAGACTCCGCCCGACCTTTCTTCCTTTTCCCGACCTTATTCTGCCCGACCTCCAGACCTTTTGGCTTTCATTCAGACCCTACCCAGAATCCTACTGCCACTTACTATTATTATTATTTTTTGTGCTTAACAGTTCCAAAGTTGGACAACACCATCTTCCTGCAGTTCCAACCCACCGTGTCCTTGAAGCAGAAGATTTCAATAACAGATTTATATTTTAGCAATGGCTGGAGGTTTGTTTAAATTCCGCTTCCGCTAACATATTTGATTATATGTTTATTTTCTAACACAAAAATCTTGTGTTTTATTTATTACGTAAAATTGTGTTAATGAAACACCCTTTTTCGATATTTAGTTTTAAATAAAGACCTAAATTATGCAAATTTTATACAAATAAAAAACGCAAAATATTTTAAATAATTTTTTTGAATAAAATACATAAATAAATAATTGATTAATCTTTCATTTTATAGAAATCTTGTTTAGAACTAAATATCAATTTTTGACAAATAGGGTGTTTCGTACAAAATTTAAAATAAATAAAACACGGCGTATTGCATGAACACAAGGGGTTTCACGCAATAAAGCATTTTTACTAAAACACATTGAGATGTTATATAATTTACTCTTTAAAACTTTTACTATTTAAATTCCAATTCAAAATCCAAACCCCCAAAAGCATAAAATATTATATACTATTTTCAGAATTTTTTAAAATTCCAAAACTTGCAAAATTCTATCTAAATAGTGTTTACTTTGAGTCATTCGATTCGATTCAATTCAAAAACAACAATGCACCACAACTTTGAATGAAACTAAATGTAATGTTCCGTAAACCAAGAACAAAGAAACACAAGGTCGAAAGGGCAAAAGATATCAAGACAGCCATTTCAAAATCAAACAAGTTCATAGTATCTATCTTCCAAGAGATTATGATAGTTCAGGATATCTTCACAATTGGTATTTTATTGGACATAAATAAAAAGACAACAAATCCAAATGCCCTGAATGGCCAGCCATCTGAGACAGCTAGAGTTACCTCTGGGCTCCATTTTAGTGTCCTCCATACTTCTGATAAAACAGAGTAAAGCAGAATGAGATATTGATCCACAGAGATATAATACGAACACAAATGTCAATCAATATAACTACCATTTATTTATTTCTCTAAAGACCTATGCAGGATTAAGTTTACCTAAAATTTCCACATGAAGGAAAGACATTAGCTATCAAAAAACTGATACATTTTCGAGTAAATGTATTCTCCATGGCAAGGATAGAGGACAACTACATCGTGCATTTCTAAGGGATTCTTCTTTCCCAACAGCATAATCTTAGGACATTAAGTTCGGCGTTGTCGAGAAGGAAAAGGAACAAGATAAATCAATCCTTTTGTAAGAGGGGCAAAGTTCCTCATTACTTGTATCTTTAGAAACTAACCCAATGCTATAAATATTATACTATGTTTCGCTAGCCAAGTTCAGCAATCCCACAAATAAAAACAATTGCTGGTCGAACTTGTAACTGATTCACCCATTGCTATTTGCTACTTTTAAATTCATATTTCACACCAAAGCAGACCGTGACTGTTCCATATTTCGTAGACCTCACTTTTGGCTACTAATGCAGACTAGCTCCCCCATGGTTGACACTCTATGGTTTCCATGTTGACATATGTCACAATTGCATTCACAGTACATAATACACATAAACTCACTAAGATTCTCTTAATACAGGTGGTTAAGATTTCACATGCATAAAATTGAACAAGAAAGAGACAGTTCCATAGATACAATAAAAATTAACTCCATACCATTATCAAAATATATAACACATTACCTAATGGTGATCATCATGACCCTCCCATGGATGCCTCCAGCCCTACAAGAAAGAAACTACCTTGAAAGATCTCTCAAAAAAGCTATTCAAATGTACTATACAAGTATATGAAACAGATATCATTGCTACAATACATAAGGCAATAATTCATTGTAACTCACCAACACCACAGGACCATCCTGCTTCGCACGGTAGAGAACCCAAAACCTGAAAAAAAATGTTAAGAATACAACTTAAAGGAAACTACTGTAATGAGTGGAAATTGGTAACAGGATGCTTAAAATGGTTTCAATCAAGGAAGAGAAACCTTAATTAAAGAAAGGGCACCATTTCCAGCGCATGTTTCAAGATATAGCAAGATCATGTACAACAAATTTTTATTAACCTAAAGGATACGAAAAAAATCACACGGATTGTCAGATAGAAAATAATTGACCTGTAAACTTAAGCCCTTTCAATTTTGTAGGATTGCAAATACTAATCTTCTAATTGCCATCTGATGCATAGTTTCTTCTATGAGAAAGAAATGGATCAACTCCACATTTATCAAAACTTAATGATTCTCTATACCGTGAAGGTTTCAAAGAAACCAAAAAACCTAGGAAAAATTAAGTAATAAACGATCATACAGAAATGATATTTTTAAGAACAAAACAACGGATTTCTGCACCCAAGAGGGCAAGAACAATGATCATATACCCAAATTGAAGTCTCATATAATTGATAAATGGACTACATTCACTGCCATCTTGATTCAGCCCAATTCCCTAAAAAAAGAACATTTCACGACGCGGAACAAAAATCCCCCCACAAAAAACGAAAAATTTTCAACTTAAAAGATTCGAACTACGAAAACAATAATTCACGAAGACGAGATTTTTCAGAAACTAGCAAACTAAAACGATACATCCAAACTAATCACATTAAAAAGTCATCAATGGAGTCTCTCTATTCTAATTCTAACCAATCTCATATGCGCATAAGAGTTTACCACATGACCGCGCAGAGGCCGTTGCCAGTGATTGTGTGCCAGCGCTTGGGCTGATGCAAGGTCACGCCCTTGTACGTGATGCCATGGCCGGATCCCCCTCCCATCTTCCTCCTTGTTACTCTTTCAACTGGCGAATCGATCCTAGGGTTCAACTGCTGGAAAAACAAAAACCACCTTCAAGGGCCGAAGTGGAAATATAACTATGTTCTGAAGTTTAGAGAAATAGTAATTAACTCCTTATTTACTACTTAATTATAGATCCAACCCCTATACTTTTGCTCTATTTGGGTCTTTTTTATATTGTAGATATATAGTGATAAAATGCCAACTTTATAATAGTTTTATGTAAAAAAAAAAACTGGCAAAAATCTATTGATATTATTAAGCACTAAAAATTGCAATGACCTTTTTGTAAAAAGTCTTTTGTATAAGTATGGAAGTTTTTGTCAAAAATAAATAAATAATATAATAACTTTTATGTTGATAAAAAAAAAAAGAAAATTTTTTATTTACACTAGATGTAGGTGAGGCACAGTTAAAGCCATCACTTTTGTTTTTTGTTTTTTTTTTTTGTTTTTTTGTTTTTTTTTATCTCTTTCAAATGAAGCTATTGTACATTTTCCCTTTTATCTTAAAAAAATATATATATATTTTACTCAGACACATGAGTTTACAAAGCTTTTTCTAATTGGCCATTGCAATTGCTCTAATAGCCTACTTATAGAAGGCTTGAATGTTAAAATTGAGGTCTTTCCTAAAAATAGTTCATATAATATTCTTTTTTTAAAAGTTTGATTCATACTTTGTATGGTTTGAACGATTCCATCAACTCATCTAACATAAGAGTTGACAGATCTCAAGATTCGTCAATAGTAGCCACCAAATGGTTGAATTTCGATTATATGTTCCGTAGAATCTTGATGACGACCATTTGATCAGTTATTGTATTTCTATAGAATCTCATTTGTGCTACCGTTGTGCCTGTTTTTTTGCAAAAAATCTTTCACAAATTTAGTTTCATTCATGATGGAAGGCTAAAAAATGTGTCTCGGGTACCTATAATTTAACTAATATTATATTGGCAAACCCTTTATTCTCATTTTTTAGTGTCGTCCAAACTTCTTTAGTTATGGTGGCTCACCTATTCTAGAGAAAATTGAATCATCTACTAATTGCTCGATGAATCACGATTTTAATGTTCTTTGTTTATATATTCATTTTCATTGGATTTTTTATATCGAATATTCAGGAATCATAAGACTCACTTTTAAACACTGGTATTTATGATCAAGTAACATGAGAGATATTGAGAATAACCATGAAAGAACATAAGAAAATAAATACTCAAACCCTCGAAGCTAATCCATGGGCGTTTCGAGATCTACAACAACGGAAAGTGGTCAGGTCCGGAAGTCCGCAGGTCGGGACGGCCTCAGGTCGGGAGTTCCTCAATACGGGAAGTGGTCAGGACGGGAAGTCCTTAGGTCGGGAAGTCCTCAGGTCGGGAGTTCCTCAAGACGGGAAGTTGTCAGGTCGGGAAGTCCTCAAGACAGAAAGTGGTCAGGACGGGAAGTCCTTAGGTCGGGAAGTCCTCAAGACAGAAAGTGGTCAGGACGGGAAGTCCTTAGGTCGGGAAGTCCTCAAGACGGAAAGTGGTCAGGACGGGAAGTCCTCAGGTCGGGAGGTCCTCAAGACGGAAAGTGGTCAGGTCGGGAAGTCAACAGGTCGGACTGACGGATGGTCAGCAGGTCGGACAGACAGGTCTGATGGTCAGCAGGTCGGATAAAGTAGGTCGGCTGGTCTAGCAATTGGTCTCTGGAACGGTCGGTCGGGCAAGTTGAGTTTGGGAACTGGTGGAAGCGTTTGGCGAGACGGTGCAAGGCACGTGTCAATAAAGGAGGAATTAGAGAAGGTAGATTAATGGCTAAATTGTCATTTTCGAAATGAGGGACTGGATTGACTTTTCAAGTGGCAGATCCGTACAATCTCGTCTTTTCAAGCCAGTACAAAAGATAGGTAAGGACTAAATTGTCATTTTCGAAATGAGGGGCAGGATAGACTTTTCAAGTGGCAGATCCGTACAAACTCGTATTTATATGATATAATATTAGATATGTAAAATTATATTGATAATAAAAAAATTTATATACTTTTCATTAATATGATTTTTAATATATGTATTTTTATATTCTTTTATAAAAAGTTAAAATATTATTTTTTACTATTACAATTTTTCATATATTATACTCTCTCCGTCCGCCAATAAAGAGTCATATTTACATATTGCGTCATTATACTTAATATTAAAAATATATAATTTTTTGTAAAATTTTTTTATATTAGTATTATAAGACATTAATGAAAGTATTTTTACAAATTTCCTTAATTTGTACTACGTTTTGATATAATAATTAATATTCAAATATCAACACGTAAAAAGTAAATAACTCCCTTGGAGCCGAACGGAGGTAGTATTAAAAAATACTTTAAATTTAAAAATACTAAATAAACAAATTATATATATGTTTAATTATAATTTAAAATTAATTTGAAAAAATACGTTGATTTGAATTTTTTGTTTAAATTTTATTTTAATTTAATATTTTATAAAAAAATATTATATTTTTATTAATTGTAATAAAAAAAAAATAATATTTAGTTTTAATTTGAAATATTATTACAACGAAGTGGTTATGGATATGATAGGACATATTAATGATGATGGATGTGGGCTATGGGTTATGGGCTTCTTGTCCCTTTTGTTGTTTTTTCTTACACTCCTGTTAAGCACAAAAAATAATAATAATAAATAATGGCAGTGGGATTCTGGACGGGTCTGGATATAAGTTAAATGACCCAGAAGTCGGGTGCAATCGGACAGATGCAAGGATCGGGAAGGAAGAAAGGTCGGGCGGAGTCTGAAAAAAGGTGTACCCAAGTCGGGTAAACCGTAGATCGGGTGAAAGACGAAGTCGGGCAGACGCGAAGGTTTGTCAAGAGAAAGGTCGGGCAAGGAAGAGGTACGGACAGATGCGGAGGTCTGTCCAGAGGACAGTCTGTCCTTCTAAAGAGATAAGGCAAATAGAGCCGGTCGGTTGGTCCGTGGTCGGGACCACATTTGGTTGGTCCATGGTCGGACCAATTAAAGTCGGTCAAAGACGGAGGGCGGCTGATGCGGAGGTCGGCCCAAATGATGTCGGGCGAAGAAGCAGGTCGGGCTAATGGCATTTCTGGGACGGTTTAAGGCGTGAGAGGTTTGGGGAGGTTGAAGGAAGTTGTAACACGTGTCAATTGAGGAGAATTTGATGGTCGGTTACAGCAACCGCTGTCAACCGACCAAACGGCGGTTCAAACCGTTTTCTTCAAAGGCTATTTAAGGATTCAGATTTTCTGAAAAGGCATCTTCAATCAACTTCAACAAAGCAAAGTCAGATTTGGGGATCACCACTTTAAATTTCAGTCTTTTATTTTCCAGTTTATTTTCTGTACCATACAGTGTTTAGAGATTCCTAATCTCAGGCACTAATTAATCAAGTTTAAGGATATTTTCTATATCTTTGAATTTTACTTTATTTTTGTTGAAATATTACATCAACACAAGTTTAAGGATATTTTCTATATCTTTGAATTTTACTTTATTTTTGTTGAAAAATTACATCAACAATTACTTTCTCTTTAGAAGGACAGACTGTCCTCTGGACAGACCTCCGCATCTGTCCGTACCTCTTCCTTGCCCGACCTTTCTCTTGACAAACCTTCGCGTCTGCCCGACTTCGTCTTTCACCCGATCTACGGTTTACCCGACTTGGGTACACCTTTTTTCAGACTCCGCCCGACCTTTCTTCCTTCCCGATCCTTGCATCTGTCCGATTGCACCCGACTTCTGGGTCATTTAACTTATATCCAGACCCGTCCAGAATCCCACTGCCATTATTTATTATTATTATTTTTTGTGCTTAACAATTATATAGTGTGTGTGTGTATATATATAACATGTGTGATGTGTCTGTTCAGAAGCTCTTCAGTAACAACCACCTGAAAAAAGGGATAGAGCCTGAGAGATCAAAGATACGTTTCTGTTCTGACGATCTCGATTCCATCTTCTAACCAGGTTTGATCTTTTTTGTTTCTTTCATTAGTTTATGCGATTGGCATTCTGAATTATGTGGTTTCTACTTCCATTTTCCTGTGCATGGTGCTGGTTTACGTGTGATCTTTTGTGTTTAATGCGTTAATCAGGGACTTTTGGAGAGGCTAGCGCAAAATGTTTGGAATTGTGAGGCAAAAGGCAACCTGCGGACGCAATTGTGCTTCGGTAAAAGAACGATTTCTAGATTTTGATTACACATTTATTTATTCTCATTCTGTTCCTTGAGTTTATGGATTTAATTTGGTTGCTGCCGTTTTTGATTTAATCGTTTTTAATTTTTAAATGTTTTTCTATTGAAAGAAATTGGTTCGAAGAATTCCGGAGATTGCGTTGAGAGCATCGTCTTCATCTGCTCGGGAGGTAATAATGAGAATACACTTACTTTTTGGTAATGTGTTTCTAATAAAAAACAGAAAGCTGTTTGAATGATTCACATGTTTTGAAATCGCTAGTGTTTCCATTGTTCAATAAATTCCAATTTATAGCAAATGTAGAAATCAATCGCTAGCTATATAAACTGGTTGTGTTCTTCTGTTTAGCTCAAATGCATTTATAAGAGATTCTCTGTATAGCATCATTCGGTAACAGTGAGTGTTATTCATGCATCACGATTTGTTTCAGATGACTGTTCGTGATGCTTTGAATTCAGCAATGGATGAAGAATTGTCTGCTGATCCTAATGTTTTCATAATGGGTGAAGAGGTATCTTGGAAGTATTAATTGGTCATTCCTATGTTTTTGGTTTGTTCTTTGTTACAATCCTAGATGGTTTTCGAAATCTTTTGGTGTTTGTATGCAGGTTGGTGAGTATCAGGGTGCATATAAGGTGAGTTCGAGATTGGCTAAACGTTTTCTTCTTTCCCTGCTTTCATTGAAGTCTCTGTATTACAACAAGTTTTAACTGATTGCATTTTGTAGTAGATCACCAAAGGACTTCTAAAGAAATATGGTCCGGAGAGGGTTCTTGACACACCTATCACTGAGGTAGGCGTCATGCTTTATTCAAATTGTAGCTTGGAATTGAGATTCGAGACTCAACTATGTAATAATGATGAACTAGGCTGGATTTGCTGGAATTGGAGTCGGTGCAGCTTATCATGGTCTAAAGCCTGTAGTAGAGTTTATGACTATGAACTTCTCGATGCAGGTTAGACTTCTTTTATCGATACCAATGTTTCTTCTGCTGTCATTGTGGATGTATTCATGTTTCCTATTTTATTTGTGGTCATGAAGAAGTGCTTTATATGTATAGCTGTGAGGTTAACTTATGCATCTTTTTCAGGCGATCGACCACATTATTAATTCTGCAGCAAAATCATATTACATGTCCGCTGGTCAGATACAAGTGCCCATTGTGTTCAGAGGCCCTAATGGTGCAGCTGCTGGTGTTGGCGCACAGCATTCACAGGTACATACTTAACTACTACTATCTCTTTAGGCCATTCTAAGGGATATATGTACAAAGTCTACCATCCCAAATGTCTCACATTTCGCCTTGCTAAAGCCCGTGAAATAATCTCAAATCAAAACCATTTCATCAAGCTCCTAACAATTGGATTGTACTCTGTAGTTATGTATAAACTCAATAAGTTAGTACATGAACACAACTTCTTTAATCAGGTTTAGAGAAAGGTAGTTGGCTTTTGTGACTTTGTATGACAAATTTAGTGTCTTTTGGGGGAGCTTGTGGTAAACTAATAAATAATTTTTCTAATGATTGGTTTTGTAAGAAAGAACTCGTAAAGCATATACTTGTTATAACGTTGAGATTTCAATTATCTCATAGAAATCTTATTAAATGACCATGCCATCTAACAATACATCGTTAATTACATATAATATAGTGTTCCAATATTCAAAACAGACTAATGGTTGCTTTTGCATGCCTATATTTTTCTATCTGTAAACTAAGTTTTTATCCTTTTCAGTGCTTTGCGGCATGGTATAGTGCAATCCCAGGATTAAAGGTACTGGTTCCATACTCTTCAGAAGATGCCCGTGGACTGCTTAAAGCCGCTATAAGGGATCCAGATCCGGTTGTCTTCCTTGAAAATGAACTTCTGTAAGTAGAATTAACAATTTTTCTTTTTTTTTTATGCATAATACTCAATCTTTGGACATGGCATTGGTCAATATATAGCAGTTTTTAATCTACCCTAGGCCATCCTGTGACTTCAACTTTTCATTTTTAAGGTATGGAGAATCATTTCCTGTCTCAGCAGAAGCACTTGATTCCAACTTTGTTATTCCCATTGGGAAAGCTAAGGTATTCCATTCCTTCAAACAATATATAATATTATCCTCGCGACCTACGCCTTAAAAAACTCTGTTGCCGCAACAATCTCCAGATTGAGCGCCAAGGAAACGATGTAACCATCACTGCCTTCTCAAAGATGGTTGGCTTTGCTCTCAAGGTATGTCTTATGTTTTTAGAGTGAATTGAAGTTCATGGATTCAAATATGAGATCTTACATATTTTAAATTCCTAATTTTGTATCCTTTTGTTCGACTCTAGACAAGTTATAGCAACAATTTGATTATTTGAGTTTGCTTTTCCGAGATTGATATAATACTTTTATAGGCTGCTGAAACTCTTGCAGAAGAAGGGATTTCTGCTGAGGTAATTAACTCTATAAAACTTATGACATTACATATATTCATGAGTCCTATGATCTTACAAGTGTAGGCTGCAATACTTGTTTATTCAGGTGATCAATCTCCGATCTATTCGCCCTCTCGACAGAGCTACAATAAATGATTCTGTTAGGAAAACCAGCAGGCTTGTGACTGTCGAAGAAGGATTCCCTCAACACGGCATCGGCGCAGAGATTTGGTTATTTTCTTGACACAACTCTCACACCCTAAAGCTTCATCCATCTTTTATTGCAAACCTTCTTAATGTAATACATTAAATGGTTTCCTAAATCCTTTTCCAGTGCTTCTGTTGTTGAAGAGAGCTTCGACTATCTTGATGCACCAGTTGAGAGAATCGCAGGCACTGATGTCCCGACACCATATGCTGCAAACATCGAGCGAATGGCTTTTCCACAGGTTTGCTTCAAAAACAAAATATTTGAAACAACATGTTTGGTGATGTTATGGTAAAAACAACAAAAGACTATAACTACATTGTAATATTTCAGGTTGAAGACATTGTTCGAGCAGCGAAGAGAACCTGTGGCAAGTCGAGTTAATTGAGCTATACAACGACACAAAAGACAAGGTCTTGTCGTCATTCCTATCGACATCGATATAGTAATTGTTCTCACATCCTCAAATAGTTCAGAAAATGAGACAGCAGCAACAACAATTCTTGATCGTAATTTCGCCATAAACCGTTATTACAGTTAGGAAATAAGAAAGGATCACACACTTGTCTCCTCCTATTGACAGTTTTGGAGGATGCTGTTTTTATCTGAGTAAAAAGAGCTGAAAGAGAGAGGGGGAGAAGCACAAATTTAAACAAGTAAGCATTATTAGTATTATGAATGAATTCTTCAAATATATATATTTTAAATTTGTTACTGATTTTGATCTGCCGTTGAAAAGCATTCTTTCTTTATTTATAACTCAGGCCGAGTTTAATTTCTACAATTTAGGTTACTGATTTGATCCAACTTAAGTTGTTTTAAATTTGCTTTAAATTCTATTGGACCTTATTTCTAAAACACACAGTTGGTGTCAATTAATGTTGACATTCTAGCTAGTTTAATTAAATTCTAGTACAAGAATGGAAGAACAGTGTAAATTATGAGCAGTCCCAAAATGCTCTAATACTTGAATGTGACTATGAGACAAGAAATTTTTTACAAAACAAACACTAAACTAAAGTGTGTATGTTATTGGATTGGAGCAAGAAAGGATGCAAAAATACCACACGTCAATGAAACCATTTTTTTTTCTTTTTTAATTTAATTTATTTTATGTATATTATAAAATTTTATCCTCAATTAAAAAAAAAAAAAAATAAAATTTAATGGGCTTCAACTCAAATTTCAATTGAAAAACTCATCCGATAATTAAAAGCACCCTCGGTATCTTTAAATTTTCATTACTTAAAAAATATATAAATGGTGGAAAAGATAAAAAGGAGGAAGACAAATATTTAATGGGTTTGGGGTGAAGGAGAAGAATAAGAAGACGATCAAAATTGAAAGCCCACTGCCCATCAAATTTATCGTTCTGTTAAAACTCATCACACAGAAAATTATTCATTCTTGAAGCTACATATATGTATATATATATATATATCCATGTGCTTTGATTGTTCTGTAATTAGGATCTCTATCTGCATTTAAAATTTCACTGAAATGATCGAAGATGCAGTAGCGATGGGTTTTCGCATTTTCTGGGTTTAATCCGCCCCTTTTTTTAGGGTTCATTGCTTTGATTTGCTGTTTAATCTCAATCTAGATTCTCTCGACACATCAATTTCTGCTAATCCCCTGTTCGATCGAATCTACCATCCATTTGTTTTAATAATCGATTTTCTATAGCAATGCTCGTTTAATAATCCACCCCTTTTTTTATATGATACTAAAAATAAATTTTACATCCAAAATATTTATATCACATCATACAACTATTCCAATTCAAAATTTTTACTATTCAAATCCCTAAACAAACAAACCCTAGTTATATATATATAAATCATTTTATTTTTAAACAAAAAAAATACATCACTTTTTGTACTAATTTACTATAAATAGCAAAGAAATAAAAAAGTAAAATAACAATAATTATATATTTTAAATGACGGAGAGAGTAGTATAATAAAAGATCTGGTTTCGTTGTAATTTGAAATAAAGTGCTAGATTTGAATTTTTTAGTAGTATTTTGATATAATATTTTATATAAAAAAAAATAATACTCATCTCATTAAAATCTATCATCACTTTCATTTTTAGTAAAAAAGTATTATTTTTCAACTTTTTCTTTACCTACAAAAGTAAAAAAGAAAATATTTTTATCTATTTTTTTTTTAAATTTGTGTTCGATCAAATGAGTATACAATTAGATGACATGGCAGTGAGAGTAATATTTAATTTTTATAAACAAAAAAAAAACGTAGGAATTAAATACTGGTTTTTTTAAAAATAAAAAATAAATAAAATTAAAAACCAAATACACACTTAAGATTTTAAGCATTTCTTCCAAGGAGGAGTGTAATAGTGATTAGGTAATTTACTTTTAGGAATGCATTATTAAAATTCATAAAAACCATCAAACTTGAATGAATTGTAATGCAATTCAACATCTTCCTTGATTGAAAATAGAGAATATGATACTTTTATTTAATAAAAAGGTAGGAAATATAACAAAGAAAAAAAAAATAGAATGCGACAAAAATAAAAGAATTTGATACTTAAAAAATATGGTGTGTTGTTTGGGATTTTGATTTTAAATTTGAATTTTGGATAATAAAATTTTAAATTAAAATAATTGTTTGATGTAATATAAACACGTAATATATTTAATATTCCTCCGTCCACTTACAATGTATACATTTACTTTTGGTGCAGTGTTAAAAAAATAATATTATTTTAATTATAGTAAGTAATTAAAAGTAATGTAAAGATATTTTTGCCCTTACTTATTTTTGTGTAAAAGTAACGATGTGATCCAAAGTAAGGGTATTTATGAAAAAAAAATAGTGTTTTTAACGAAATGTTTACTTTGTAATTGAACGTCCCAAAATAGAAATATTATACTTTCTAGCTGGATGGAGGGAGTATAATATAAAAAAAATAAAAACAAATTTTTATTTGATTTTTTCAGAACAATTTTTTTTTGAAGAGATAATAGGCCTAAGTGTGTTTGTTTGGGGGTTTGAATTTTAAGTTGGGATTTGAATAGTAAAAATTTTGAATTTGAATAGTTGTATGATGTGATATAAATAGGCGTTGATGTGATGTTTTGAATGTAAAATTGATTTTTAGTGTAATATAAAAATTAAAAAATATGTATTTGATTTGATATTTTTAAGGAAAAAAATGGGATGAATAGTAAAAATCTAATCCAATCGCCCAAACAAACAGACAAACTCTCCCAAACAAAGACATCTATAATAAGTATATAAAAGTCAACACTAAAGTATTATTTGATATTAAAAAAATACTAATAAATAGACCAATATAGAATATATATCGTTCCCACAATATTTATGTTTATCTTTTACATTCAAAATTTATATCGATCTCTATTTATATTATATATTTACATTCAATATTTTATATCAGCCTCTATTTATATTATATTAAATAAATACTTAATTTTAAAATTTTATTAATTAAAATTCAATAACTAAAACCAAACCCCCAAAACAAATGCACTTCAATGTGTTCTCGAATATTTTGATAATGTTACAATATAAATTTATTTTTAAATTTTGGACTTATAAATTATCCCTTGATCGAAAACTTTTTACGTGGCTCGGTTTTATATTGATAAGAACGAATGTGATACCTCTTCAATTAAATAATAATAATAAAAAATAATCGAATAATACATATGACAACATTAAGGATGACATCATCATGCGCAAAAGGAAACAGATCAATGTAGAATTTGTCTCCATCTTCATTGATTGAACGTCCCCATTACTCCTATGTCCTACTAAAATTGTATTTCCTCATTCCGGTAAGGGTCACGTGGAGATATATATATATATATATTTTAAATTTATTGTGTTTAATATAAAAAATATCTTTATATTTATATAACTTTGTGTATAAATGTCATTCTATTAGTATTACAAAGACACCAATAAAAATATTTTTATAATTTTTTTTTAATTTGTACTACGTTTTGATATAATAATTAATATTCAAATATCAACAAAAAAAATAAATGAGACCATTAGAACCGGACGAATGTATTATATATTAATACAAAAATTTAGAATAAATATAATTAATAAATAATTTAAAATTATATTAGTAAAAAAAACTATTGTATAATATAAATAATAATAGATTAAAATTAAAATAGCTAAATAATTTAATTAAATTAATAAATTATAAATTATAAAAGAAATGATTAAATTATGTAGATTGACGAAGATTAAAAAATCATAGATATTTTATATGTAAGGAGAGATTATAATTAATGATTTGGAATTTTTATATAGGAATTGTACAAAATTATATGATAATTTCAATTTGGGCCTTTCCAGCTGAAGTTTTGAGATGAGTTAGTGAAATAGTTGGAATTGGGCCTTTAGAAATGGGCCCATTTAGGCTGATCCGATCTCTCTTTAATTTAAAACTAGAGTTACATTATATTATATAGTGTGTGTGTGTATATATATAACATGTGTGATGTGTCTGTTCAGAAGCTCTTCAGTAACAACCACCTGAAAAAAGGGATAGAGCCTGAGAGATCAAAGATACGTTTCTGTTCTGACGATCTCGATTCCATCTTCTAACCAGGTTTGATCTTTTTTGTTTCTTTCATTAGTTTATGCGATTGGCATTCTGAATTATGTGGTTTCTACTTCCATTTTCCTGTGCATGGTGCTGGTTTACGTGTGATCTTTTGTGTTTAATGCGTTAATCAGGGACTTTTGGAGAGGCTAGCGCAAAATGTTTGGAATTGTGAGGCAAAAGGCAACCTGCGGACGCAATTGTGCTTCGGTAAAAGAACGATTTCTAGATTTTGATTACACATTTATTTATTCTCATTCTGTTCCTTGAGTTTATGGATTTAATTTGGTTGCTGCCGTTTTTGATTTAATCGTTTTTAATTTTTAAATGTTTTTCTATTGAAAGAAATTGGTTCGAAGAATTCCGGAGATTGCGTTGAGAGCATCGTCTTCATCTGCTCGGGAGGTAATAATGAGAATACACTTACTTTTTGGTAATGTGTTTCTAATAAAAAACAGAAAGCTGTTTGAATGATTCACATGTTTTGAAATCGCTAGTGTTTCCATTGTTCAATAAATTCCAATTTATAGCAAATGTAGAAATCAATCGCTAGCTATATAAACTGGTTGTGTTCTTCTGTTTAGCTCAAATGCATTTATAAGAGATTCTCTGTATAGCATCATTCGGTAACAGTGAGTGTTATTCATGCATCACGATTTGTTTCAGATGACTGTTCGTGATGCTTTGAATTCAGCAATGGATGAAGAATTGTCTGCTGATCCTAATGTTTTCATAATGGGTGAAGAGGTATCTTGGAAGTATTAATTGGTCATTCCTATGTTTTTGGTTTGTTCTTTGTTACAATCCTAGATGGTTTTCGAAATCTTTTGGTGTTTGTATGCAGGTTGGTGAGTATCAGGGTGCATATAAGGTGAGTTCGAGATTGGCTAAACGTTTTCTTCTTTCCCTGCTTTCATTGAAGTCTCTGTATTACAACAAGTTTTAACTGATTGCATTTTGTAGTAGATCACCAAAGGACTTCTAAAGAAATATGGTCCGGAGAGGGTTCTTGACACACCTATCACTGAGGTAGGCGTCATGCTTTATTCAAATTGTAGCTTGGAATTGAGATTCGAGACTCAACTATGTAATAATGATGAACTAG